GTTTTTAATTTAATGCAATTTGATAAGTTTTATGGAATTTCTTAATTTTACACAATTTTGTAAGTAGAAAGGGGTTTTGTAAGAAGAGGAGGAGCACCACAAAAATATTTCAAGGATTTGACGACAGCAGTGATGTAGAGAGGTATATAGAGATATAAATTTAGGCAGACTGTATTCACTATTCACTTCCTTCTATACAATTGCACCACTTTACCTTCTTTTCTTTTTTTTTTTTCTTTTCTTTTTCTTTTATAGAAAAAATAACAAGAAAGTTTCTGCACTCATCAGTAGATTCAGTGCATCATAGCTTATTTTAACTATTCTTTATGTAAAATATATAAGGTAAAGTGTCAAAAAAAACCTTGAACTATATTCTCTCTCCCTAAAAAACCTCCCTTGAGCTTCTATTTCTACACTAAACTCCCTTAACTATCCAAATTGTTGCAAAAATTACCATTGGCAAGGTTCCGTTTGGTTCATTGGAATAAATAGGTGCATGATCATCAAATGCCCAAGCTGTAACTTTAAAATGATGAAGCTACCCTTGCTACTAGAACTGTGAATGGATCGAATTTATATATATATATATATGGCAATTGGATTTGTTTGGTTGTAACTTATAATGATGTTCTTTCCCACATAATAGAACTCTCCCAAGATATATATATGTTGTACATCACCTAATTTAGGGCATGATGAAAACTGAAAGAGGTGAAAGTGAAGGGGAATTGGGGACGTCGCGGATGGACTGCCGGAAGTGGAAGAGGAAGGGCGAGCCAACAATGGATTGCCGAGACCATGGTTGGAATGCTTGCGAAGTAATTTTTTTTGTTTGTTACTTATTTCTCTCACTTTTCTTGTATTCTTCCTTTTCTCCTATCCAGCCCTAATTTTCTTTTATGTTTTTTCAGAATATTTCTTTCACTTTTCAATTTCTTCTTCCCACTGAATCGTTCTCTCATTTTTATCTCTTTTTGGTATGTATTACAAAAGCTGCTTCCTCTCTTTTAATACCCAACTTTGATTCTATTTGTTTTACCAAATTAAACATATTTTTCAGCAGTTGAATGACCTTCACAGATGAATTTCATAGATCAAATACATGCTGATATTTGGTATATTTGGATCATTTTGTTTGATTTGTATTTCTTCAAACTGCATGTTTGTATAATATATAATCGGATCGGACATCCGATTCCGTTAATATTGGATATGGATTGATTAGGAAAGGATTCGTCCGATTATCGGATCGGACCGAATCAATTATTTTGCTTATCGGATTCGGATCGAATTGATCATGATCCGATCTAAATCCGACCCGTTAACAGGTCTACTTGCTACCCTAATTACCCCGACTGTTAAATGTATAAATAAAACCAAAATTTCAAATTGATGATACTTTCAAATTTATATTTTCCCAAATTAAAGTCCGTCGGAAATTGAAACCCTATCCCTACCAAATCACCATCTCTCTTCTTTATGGATATTTGGAACAATTGAATGTGAAGAAGAGTCGAATGCCTCCATCTCCCTCTCGTTTCATCATAGAAATCCAGAAATCCAGATTTCTTTGTTAATATTTTTTAGCACAACCTCAATCAAGTTCTTATCAGCAATCTCATTCCTGCTCTAGATATACTGATACGTCATCAACACCATCAAGAATACATCCCTCACAATGTGGTCCACGACCACCGTGTAAATCAGCTAGCAGTTGCCATTGGTGCAAAGTCAGGGTAGGGGATTTGATCGTTTGCGTCCTCGAGAGCCTCTCCTACTTCCAAATTTACAGCAACATATTCATTAACATCCATAATTACCCCAACATAGGGATAGCCTGCAAAATTTCGTCCAAGGAGGGAGAAAGTTAAGGCTCAGCGGGGCATGTGCACCGTACCCCGAACCTCAACTTTTCAAAAATTGCATTTTTGTATGCATAATTTTATAAAAATTTTAAAATTGACTTTTAAAAAATTCATTTTTGTGTGTTTGATTCTTTCAAATTGCCCCGTTCAACTTTAAAACTTTATATTTTTGTATGTATAATCCTTAAAATTTTCCACCCTAAACTTTAAAAAAAATCATTTTGTATGTTAGATGATCTTCTTGGAGAATGCAACTTGTTTTGGTTAAATTTTATTATTGCACCCTGAACGTAATTTCTGTCTCCTTTACTGTAGACGTCTTAGCTTATAACCATCAAATTTTCATCAATATCCACAATGTACAACCTCAAATCCAATCCAACTATAAAAATGGAAAAGTTACAAGGAGTAATAGAGAAAAAGAAGTAAGGTAAAAGATTATTCCGAAAAAAAAAAGAAAAAGAAAGAAACATATATATTAAAAGGAGACAAACAAAAAGATTGTTATACAGTTGGCAATTATACAATACAAAGCAGAAATAGGTTCTATAAGATTAGAATCATGGACATATAGTATAAGTAAAAAACACATCTATTTATCATCCTAAAATTGACAACCAAAACAGGTTGCATTCTCGAAGAAGATCATATAACATACAACCACACGCACATTAATGTCCTTGGTATATTAGATCCTGCTAAGCAACAATAAGATTATGGACTAGTAATTAGACAATTTTCCAAGCTTTCTTATAACCAAGTAAATGTAAATTTGGAGTCTTTCCAAAATCCAATAGGATACTTGATAGTAGGGTTGCAAGTTGGGCTAGCCCAACCCAACCCAGTTCTAACCCAACCTCAACCCGAAATCGGGTTGGGTTGGGCCAGTCCGAAGTATACCCATGGGTTATGGTCATAACTCAGATTGAAAATTTTCGGACGGGTCGGGTCGGTTTAACGGGTTGATTTTTTTTAAAAATAAAAAATAAAATATCGTAAATTTATATATATTTGATTATATTATTATTGAAAAACAAAATATTTTTAGGGCAAATCATTTTAGCCTCCCCAATCGCCTCCATCTCTATTCTCCTTCTCGACTCTGAACTTGCCCTCTTTCTCTCTCTCCCTCCCTCTCCAACTGCAAACTACAAAATCTAAAAGAATTAGAAGTTCAAAACCCATATATTGCAGTTTATCTAAGAATCAAAAGTTCAAAACCTATTACGTATATAAAAACCCATATCGGCATATCATTTCAGATTGTTCAAAAAATCAAATCCCATATCTTTCAGATTCCATCGCCCGCTGTTCTAATTCAGGTTCGCCGTTCGCAAGCTTCAGCCGCTGTCCCCTCCCCCCCTCACTCTACAACTGCTAACTTGTATGTATGGGTTTTGTTTTAATTTTTGAAAGTGACGGCGACGGCAGTGGATCAACTTTCTGGCTTGATCCCATTTGAGATTGGAAACTTGAAACTCTTGTGGATGCTAGATCTGTTAACTTGGCCGGCGGAGGTGGCAGAGGGACGGCAGCAAAGAGAGAAAAAGAAAGGAGAGAGGAGAGAGAAAGGAGAAATAATAATAATAATAATATATTTTTTTTATTTTGGGTTGGGTTCGGGTTGAGCCCAAGCCCAACCCGAACATGAGCCCGATTTGTGAATTTAAAACCCAAATTTCAAAATTTCTAGGTTGAGCTAGGTTAGTCCGCCCAAGTTATCTTCACTACATGCAACTTGAATCTCCTTCTTCACTGACAACTTCTTCACTTGCTCGAGAGAACAAAAAATGGGCAACATTGCATGGACAAAGATGGAAACTGCAGGCAAGGATATAAAATCATTCAATACATCAAATACATAACAAAAAAACACTCAGGTACCATACAAAATACAACATTAGTTTAAATTATTGAAAGAATCGAATTTTAGGGGGGGGGGGGCGGCCGGGGAACACCATTAGCTGCCCGCTTAGGTAGAACCGCCATGTTCAATGAGATCACGGTTTACCACGCACTTGGATGCTCTTCCTATCATCCACCAGTCATCTTTTACCATAAAGGACATGTTTGCTAATTTTGGGAAAATCATTGCACATAATCCTTAAAATTTATTTATTTTCCTGCATAAACACTTTTGATGTCATTCGCACCATTATGCATTATAACAAAAAATAAATGACAATGGGATGGAAGTACATTTGGAAGAGCAAATGCCAACTGCCTAGTCATAGGGAAAAATAAGGTTAAGTTTCTTTTTTCTACCAATCAACATGGATAAGACCATATTAATGGAGTGTGACAGATGAAACTTTGGAATTAATGATGCCTCGATAATACGTTCGAACATCTATATTTTAAAAAAAAACTCTTCCACAAATACATATAACAAACAATAACCACATTGGCCCTTAGTTTCAACACATGTTTTACTAAATTCTATAGCTTTCAAGTCCATCTTCAATTAATATGCAAATGCATTGGCCTTAAGGATTTGTCCTTGCAATCAGCCACCTCCCTGAATTGCACAAGCAAGATCAATATAAGAAAACGAAACTGACTGAGATAGGAAAGCACGATTCAAATTACAAAATGAAACTGAAAATCATGAATCAAATTACAAAACGCAACATAAAAGATTCATTTTCTTTCACTTGACAAGAACTAGTAAAAAGTTGTGGATAAAAGTTATTCAATACACCAACCATTTACAATGATAAAAAGAGCATATAAATGAGCTTTAATACAACATTATTCAAAGAGAAATAGTATAGTACGAAACACATCTATTTATCCTCCTAAAATTGTCAACCAAAACAAGTTACATTCTCCAAGAAGATCATCTAGCATACAAACACGCACATTAAGGTCCTTGGTATATCAGATCCTACTCAACAACAATAAAATTATGGACCAGTAAATAGACAAAATTTTCCAAGGCTTTCTTATGACATAGTAAATGTAAATTTGGAGTCTTACCAAAATACAAAAGGATATCAACGTACTTGTTTAATGTTCTGAACTTGATAGGTATATCTTCACTACATGAAAGAAGAATCTCCTTCATCACTAGACAATTCATCTTCCAATTTCTTCATGTGCTCGATATCTAAAAGAAAACAAAAAAGGATATATTTAAATAACGGGCAACATTGAATGGACAAAGATAGAAACTGCAGGCAAGGGTATAAAATCATTCAATACATGAAATACATAACAAAAAACTCATGCACCATACAAAAATACAACATTGATTCAAATTATTGAAATAATCGAATTTTACAATATGTATATTCATTTTTTCTTTCTTTTAATGTTGGGGCGTACAGAGAACGCCCATTCGCTACCCACAGAGGTAGAACCACCATGTTCAATGGCATAATGGCCTACTAAGCACTTGGATGCTCTTCCTATCATCCACCGGTCATCTTTTAACCCACATGTATGCTAATTTTGGGGAAAATCATTGCACATGATACTTAAAAATTATTCAATTTCCTGCATAAACACTTTTGATGTCATTCCCACCATTATGCATTATAACAAAAAATAAATAATAATGGGCTTGATCATTTGGAAGAGCAAATGCCAACAAGAAATAATAATGAAAGTTTCTTTTTTCTACCAATCAACATAGATAAGATCATATTAAAGGAGTGTGACACATCAAAGTTTGGAATTGATTTGGTCTCGATACATTTTTGAACATCTATATTTAAAAATAAAAAAAAATAAAAAGCTTCCACAAATACATATAACAACAATAACCACATTGGCCTTTACACAGCTTAGCATTTGCCTGGGTCGATGCAGCCTTAGTTTCATCACTATTTTTGCTAAATTCTACAGCTTTCAAGTCCATTTTCAATTGATCTGCACATGCATTGGCCTTACGGATCTCGTCCTTGCAATCAGCCACCTCCCTCAATATAAGAAAACAACGAAACTAACTAAAACAGAAAAACACGATTCAAATTACAAAATGAAACATAAAAACTTCATTTTCTTTCACTTGACAAGAACTAGTAATTAGACAAAATTAGTTTCCTGAATAGTAATAAGATGTAGAGAAGACTTGAGCAAATCAATAATCAACATGTGATGTCTTTTTATTTCTTTTTTTTCGATAAGTAAAATTACATTAAAAGCCACTCAAAGAGGAGCACACCCTAAGGATAAACTACACATAAAAATAAAAAATAAAAACAAACAAACTACACTGTACCCTCGAAGTATCCAAAATTTCAACAAAATTCTCTGCAGTCATAAAAAAAAGATAGAAAAATACCTGTTTAAGGCAGTGAACTTCATAGGTATATCATCAGGACAGAAAATATCAGGTATGTCCTTTGTCACTAGCTTCCACGCAGACAATTCAGCTACCAAATTCTTTTGAATTTCTGACGATTTAGATAACTCCATCCTCGCCTTCTCTCTCTCTTTCTCCTTCAGTGATTCGACGTTATCATTAGAATATTTTAACTTTCTTTGTAGCACTTCAGACTCCATAATTAAGTTCATGCAAGTCAAACTAACACTAGAAATTTAGTCAAAAAAAATTCTACAAAACAATAACAAACTAACTTATACGCCATGAGCAGTTGGTGTAAAGTCCACTATTTCAAATAACATACAATCAAAAAAATCTAAAATATAAATAGAATGGCATTTAACGGATCAACATCATATGACAATGTAGATAATGTTTTGAAAAGAAAAAACATATGGGCAAAACATCATATGACACAAGGAACATGAGCACAGTAACTCACATAAAGAAAATAAGATAGATTTATAGGGGAAAAAAAAAAAAACACACAACAGTTCAAATAAAAAATTATAGTACTTACCCTTAATTCAGCATTCGCCTTGGCCGATGCAGCCTTAGTTTCAGCACTTTTTTCACGAACTTCTGCAGCTTTCAAGTCCCTTGTCAATTCATTTGCATGTGCATTGGCCTCAGATCTCTTTCTTGCAATCAGCCACCTCCCTGAATTGCACAAGCAAGATCAATATAAGAAAACAACGAAACTGACTGAAACAGAAAGACATGATACAAATTACACGAAACACAAAAGCATCATTTTATTTCACTTGACAAGAACTAGTAAAAAGTTGTGGATAAAAGTTATTCAATACGCCAACCATTTACAATGACAAAAAGAACATAGAAATGAGCTTCAATACAACATTATTCAAAGATTATTCAAAGAGAAATAGTATAGTAGGAAACACATCTATTTATCATCCTAAAATTGTCAACCAAAACAGGTTGCATTCTCCAAGAAGATCATCTAACATACAAACACGCACATTAAGGTGCTTGGTATATCAGATCCTGCTCAACAAAAATAAGATTGTGGACCTGTAATTAGACAAAAATTTCCAAGGATTTCTTATAACATAGTAAATGTAAATTACCAAGGAAATATTTTAAATAACGGGCAACATTGCATGGACAAAGATGGAAACTGCAGGCAAGGATATAAAATCATTCAATACATCAAATACATAACAAAAAACTCATGCACCATACAAAATACAACATTAATTCAAATTATTAAAAGAATCGAATTTTACAATATGTATATTCATTTTTTCTTTCATTTAATGCTGGGGTGTACATAGAACGCCCATTAAATGCCCACTGAGGTAGAACCGCCATGTTCGAAAAAAATATTAAGCTAATTAAAGTTAAGCGACACTATACTTTCATTCATTCCTACCAGGAGATCAATAATTGTGTTTGTCCACAATGTTGCCTGCTTACACTATTTGTAGGTTTGGCTGAATGGACATGATACAAAACAAACATATTTGGAATTTGAGAATTATTGAAATGTTTGATTCAAAAGTTTTTCAATTGAGAGTCATAGTTTAATTCGTCCAAAACATGAAGTAAAAAAAGATTGATTAATTAATGCAAAAGATATTCAAATACATGATAAAGACAACAAATACAATGTAGCATCCTTAATTAACAAAAGAACAGTCCCAAAAACATACCTATCTTTTTCCAATTCCACTCGTTTCAGTGAGATTTTTTTCTTTCCCAACAAGTAAACCTAAAAATTGATTGATAAATAAATAATTAATTAATATTTTTGAAATATAGACATTAGAAGTTGAAGTATTTTTATTCATGGCTTAAGCTAGCTTAACAATAATAAGGATTTGTAACATAGTACTATGTAAGAAAGAGAACCATACAACTAAAGAACTTGCTCAAGATGATTTCAAATAGTACACAAAATCAGAAAAATAGATGTCATTATAGACCTTAAAAGACCAATTAAAGAAAGAAGAGCATGAATAGTAGTGTAGTTAACTACCTGAGGACTGAGGAGGCATATTGTTGGATGACCCTTTGATTGGTAGTCGTTAGAACCAAAACGTTAGTCTATGCCGTCCCAAAAAACATAGATCTATGAGTATAAACCAACGAGTTGAGAGAGAGACTGGTGCAGAACAGGTTTGGCAAAAAAACACAGAACTTCTACAAACTATGTCCTTCAAACGTCTACAAAAACCATATAAAATGCATAAATTCTTTAAAATATGATGACCTGAAACTCGTAAATCTGCCGAACCTGTAATGTGGACCAAAGTTTATCTTTCTTAAAAAAAAAAACCACAAAAAAACCAAGAATAAGAAACAAAAAAATAGAAACAAAAACAAAGATTAATCAAAGTATATTCTAAACATGCAATTGGAAAACAAAAACAAAAAATAAATAAAAATTGTCACGGGAAGCTTTTAGATAATGTGTCAGTATATTTAGAGAAAGATTGTGGATCCTAAGGTAGAACTATTTTGCAAACACATAATATGTACGTATATTCAGAGAAAAATTAAAGAGATGTGGAGAGTTCTAACTAGAACTCCAAGACATTGATCCACAAGATAGAGAGAGGTAAGGCAATAGAGTACACAAGAGAGTACATTCACAGGAATAGAATCACTGTAGGGAGAGGCGAGTGATTCAGCAGTAACTTCAGATCTATAAGTCTCTCTTTGTTGTTGATATCTAGAGATGAAAATAACACGAAAGTAAAAAATCAATAATAAATAAATTATGAATGCTAGATTTTGATAAGCATCTATATTGATGCATTTACTTGAAAATAATTGAACATGTAATAAATAGTCAAAATACAAAAGAAATGAATATAAATCAAGAGAAAGTCTATTAATCTGACAACTAGAAACTAATTAGTAGGAGGGAGTTTTTTATTTTGCATATGGTTCTCTTAATTTTTATATTATTTGTTTGCTTTAAAATAAAAAAATTGACTTCAATGAATTTGTTACATTTATCATCATTCATTTTTCTTGAGAAATAAAAATTAAATTCTAATTTCATTAGAGGGGTGATTAAATTATGCACCTGTCAAGGTCAATGAAGGAGAAGAATTGGGTAGAATAGGTGTTTGAATATAAAGATAATTAAATATTTATAAAAATATTAGCAATTTTTTTTAGTAAGACCTAAAATGGAGCAATTGTTAGGATAAAAATTTTAAACACTAATGCTGCGTTTGGTGTGCAAAAATGGAATGGAATGCAAGTGGGAATGAAATGGAATTGTTTGGTTGTAAATATGAAATGTGTAGGAATTGAATGATAATAACCAATCTAGTGTTTAGTTGGACCAATTTAAAATTTAGAATAGAATAAATTTCAAATTGAATTCTCCAAAATATCCCTCTTAGAAACAAATAAATTAAATTAACAAAATGAAATTCTTCTATAATTTTTTTTAAATAAAAGGTGGCAGTGGCGGTGGTAGATGGTGGTGACGATAGAAAGGTGTAGATGGTGGTGCTGGAAGGCGACGGTGGTGGCAATGGTGGAAGGTTGCGGCGGCAGTGTTGGTGGAAGGCGGTAGTGGTGTTGGTGGAAGGATATATGGTGTAGGTAGCGGTGGTTGAAGCGAATGAAGGTGACTGTGGTGGTGGTGGAAAGCAGTGGAGTTGGCGGCAGTGGAAAGCGTTGAAGGTGGTGGTGGTAGAAGGTAGTGGTGGTAGAAGGCGGTGGCGGTAGCGGCGGTGGAAGGCGGTGGCTCTGGTGGTGGCGGTGGTGGAAAGCGGTAGAGGTGGCCGTGGTGGTGGAAGAAGATGGCGGTGGCGGTGGTGAAATGCGGCAGCGGCGGTGGTGGTAAAAGGCGACGGCGGTGGTGGTAATAAAAGGTAATGGCGGTGAAATGCGGTAGCAGTGGTGAAAAGCGGTGGCAGTGGTGGAAGGTAACGATGGTGAAAGGCGGTGGCGATGTTGGTTGCGACAAAGGAATGTGGTGTTGGTGGTGAAAGGTGGTGGCAGTGGTAGTAGTGGAAAGCAGTGGGCGGTGGTGGTGGTGAAAGGTGGTGGTAATGGTGGTGGTGGTGAAAGGCGAAGGTGGTGGTAATGGTGGAAGGTAGTGGTGGTTTTTGGACTTCGAACATAAGAGTTTTTTGGGAAGTTGATTTTTAAAAAAATTTTACATGGGAATGGAATGACCATTCCATAGGTTTAGTTGTGGAATGAATTTTCATTCCAATGGAATGGCCATTCCCACTTTAAATTTCATACCAAATAAAGGAATGGTTGAAATGGGCATTTCATTCCATTCCATTCCTGCACACCAAACGTAGCATAAGGGAAATGAATGTGTGTGTATACGTACATACGTACATACATATATGAGATACAACTGATTAACGGGAAAGTGTCATGTGCTGATTAAATCACACGCACTCCCATTTTTTGAATCTCAGCATTCATAGCAGTCCAAAGTTCCAAACAGTCCCTTATTTACTTTTCATGAAAGAATCAGATTTGTATGTTTAATAATTACATGTCAACAGATCAAAAAAAAAATGTGAACAAATATATGTGATATAAAGCAATAGTAAAAGGGACGGATCCAGAAAATTAGGTGTGGGGGGCCGCGTAACAAGAAGAAGATAATAATAAATATATAAATCAAACCATTATAATAAGCAAAATAACTTTAACATTCATTCATAATTCCATTGATTACATTCACAATTGTCCTAGACGACTTTCCATATCTTGAAAACGTCATATGATAACTTCATTATCTAAGGTAATAGACATATCTTTTTCAATATAGGCTATCAAACTATCACTAATCCATTCATCTCTCATCTTGTTGCGCAATCAATTCTTCACGATTTTAGCAAAAAAAATGGTTATGATTTGCAATTTATAATTTGATCTCATCCATAAACAAGCAATACATTCAACTTGGGTCTTCAGTTGAACACACAATAGTGTGCCTGTGAATTGTGTATAACAGTTGAACACACAACAGTGTGTCTATGAGGCTGTGAAGTGTACGCTAAGAGCCTAGGCTTGTACTTTCAAATTCTGGCAAATTAGGACTCCTGATAGGAGAAATTAGAAGAAAATTAAGCTTGTTAGAATCTAGAAATTAGGAGAAAATTAAGCTTGTTAGAATCGGCGCACAATCGGCAAAACACATCTTATAGAAACAAAACAGAACAATAAAACTTATACTTTCAGGCCAAACTTTCAATTTATCATAGTAATCATATAATTCATATTCCCAAAAAAGAAAAAGAAAAAAAAAAATAAGAAACATACCTTAACTGAGTTGGGTGATCTACTAATCTCAGAAGTGAGAACTACGGCTGCAACTCGAGCGGGTTGGACACTCAACTCGGGCTCGGCCCAATGTACAAATCTTCAGCCCAAACCCGAGGATAATTAAAACTAGTGAGCCCAAGCCCAGCCCATACTTAATTTTTACAACGCGGGCTGAACTTGGGTTCTTAATTCAGGTTATATTTTCGGGTTTTCTTGGGCTTTTAAGTCGGGCTCTCAATTTGGTTCATATTTCTAACTGTATTAGTACTTTTCTTTTGAACCTGCTTTGTTGTATGAGTTTCAAACTTTGAATACAACGCCAAGAATAACAAGCCTCCTAACCAACATTAACAATAATGTTACTCCATTAATTTAAATTCCAATCAAAATCATAGAAGTTAACTTTAATAATAAATAAGTTCAAGGTTAACCAAAATAACAAGCCCTCAAAACCAACATTAATAATAACACTACAAAACAACAAAAGCATATAAAAGCAATAGTAGGTTAAGTTGCAAATGTGTTACAAACAATATGTTAATGCTAAGAAAGTATTAATTGAGAAATATATATATATATAATTAGGTGGTCAAAAAATTAGGTGAGTTGTTCATGCTAAGAAAGTATTCATTAAGTATTCATTTTTATAATCATAGGAACCCACCATTTTTACTTCAATAATAGCAAATTGTGTGTATATATAAATTTATCCATGTATAAATATGCAAGGCAAAACAATAACAGAGACAGATTGAACTCTCTAAAAGAAAGATGCACAAAAGGTATTATAGTTACAAAGAACAAATAAATAAATAAAAAATCAAAGTTAATGAACATGTCCACCAATTGCAAAAATTGAAGAACGATCAGAACTTTAGCTATGAAGGCGAAAAAAGAAATGAGAAACATCATGCTGAAGGTTTGGAAAAGAAAAGGGGATTTCTAAATAACCAAAAAATAAACAAATCTGCAGTACCGATGTCGATGATGGCAGGATGTCGATGACTGCAGAATGATGTTGATGACGGTAGGATGACGTAGAGGACGGCAGGACAACATCAATTGCAGAACGATGTCGATGACGGCAGGATGACGTCGACTGCAGAACGATGTCGAGGACAGCAGGACTACGTTGACTACAGAACGATGTTGATGACGGCAGGATGATGTCGAGGACGGCGGGACAGCGTCGACTGCAAAACCAAATCAATCGAATGAGAGGAAGGATTTGGAGGCGTTGGTAAGGATGATGTGCAGAGGGGAGTTCAGAACAATCCAGAAAATAGAGTTCCGCAAGGCACACCTACGACTGCTGCGAGATGGGTAGTAAGAATTTCGAGACCTAGAGAGCGGCGATATTCGCCCTCCTTCCACTATTTCTTGTTGTATGTATGGGTATCGGCGATTTGAAAGCAAGGGTGGATCCAGGATTTCTAAATGGGGTGGGCTAAATCAAAATATATCAACCAAAATCAACTGTTGTTTAATTCAATTTTAATTAACTAACAATGTTTCTTTAGACAATTGACTGATTAAGGCATAGAAAATCCTATTTGGGTAATTAATAAAAAAAAATTACCAATTTATTTCTGAACAATTCACCACTCAGCACCCTATCTCTTCTTTTGACCAATTTACTAATCCTATTTGAGAATCTACTAGTGGAAGCAGAGTGTGAGGTAGTTCATGGCAAGCCCCTTACAACACTATGGAATTCACTCAAAAGCATGCTTTTTGTAAGTATTTTAATTTTCAAGAAGTAGCTTTAGAGCTTTTACCCTATATTAAGTACTTTTGCTTGTCAAAGTTCTTGCTATTATTATTTTTTTTAGTTCTGAAAAGATTTCCATCTTCAAAAAGCTTGGCATGTTGATATAAATTGTTTCAGATTCAATCTCTGCATATTTTTAATGCAATTCAATCCAATTCAGACTCTTTTTTTTCTTTTCTTTTTTTCTTTTTTCACGCCCAGATTCAAATTTTCTTTTAGACATAATTGACAACCAAAAAAAAAAAAAAAAAAACAGAAATAGAAGTTATAGAAATAAAGAATATATAAATTTGTTTTGCTGAAATAAAATGTAGATTACGGTGATTACCTCAAAATGCAATGCAATGCAATGATTACCTCAAAATGCAATGCAAATTTTGTTATTTTATATTGTAAATATATATATATATATATATATATATATATATATATATATAAAAGATCATAAAAAATTTCACCAAATAGGATTTAGTTTGCAAAACAAGAATTACAGACCTTGATTAGTTGATCTATAACAAGAATTAGAGAATTACAGACCTTTTTTCTCCTTCAAGTGTGGTTACAGCAGCAAGAAGTGTCCCTCTTTCTCCTTCAATTAAGTGTCCTTTTTTCTCCTTCAAGTGTGGTTATAGCAGCAAGAAGTGTCCCTTTTTCTCCTTCAAGTGTCCTTCCTTCAAGTGTGGTTACAGCAGCAAGAAGTGACCCTTTTTCTCCTTCAAGTGTCCTTTTTTCTCCTTCTGTGCATGACTATAAGAGTGTGGACTAAATCAATGGGTTATACAACCTCAGAATAATAAATGTTCTAAATGGCATAATCCAGACAAAATAAAAAGTTTTAAGGTTGGGGTGGGCCATTAGCAAGCCACTGTGACCATAAAATTGAATGGGTTATTGACCTACTAAGCAGTTGCCTATCGTTCCTATCATCATGCACTCGGTGAAAAATAGAAGATAATAATATATACTCTTACTAACATTAATAGATAAATAAAAAAATAAATATACACCTTGGCAGCACAAAATGAATGATTTAAGTAAAACAAAATCTTTTACCCTTAGTAATTATACACCTAAGGGACATGTATATCTGTGTTTGATCCTTAGTAATTATTGATTTTCTGCCTAAATACTCTTAGGAAGAAAAAGAAAAAAAACCTAAAATAAAATTTAAAAATTGCTAAAAAATAAATAATAATGGACAGGAAGTTCATCTGGAAGAGCAAATACCAATAACCTAATTATAGGAAGGAAACAAGGCTAAATTTCATGTTTCCATTCGGTTCTATATCATAAATTATTACTATTTATTTTGAAAAAAAAGAAAGGAAAGAAGGCTAAATTTCATGTTTTGGCTCTATATCACAAATTATTACTATTTATTTTGAAAAAAAAAAAAAACCATTCTATAACTATATAATATAGTATCAACAACAATCAAACTTTTTAAATTGACTGCATAAATCTTATGTTTCCATTCCCTTCTATATTACAAATTATTACAAATACCTACCAAATTGAGAATTCTAACACTTTCTATTGCAAATTGCCCATCACCCACTATATGTAGATTTCCCACGTTACCCACCATATGATTCATCTATATATATATTACCTTGAAGAGATGTGAGATTTTGGTTGGAGCCACGTTATTTGCTCTTGCCCTCTGACAAACCTCACACTTGAACCCAATCCTTCCGAACAGTTTCGCCGTTCTTCTATATAGGGAGGTTGACTGGACTACAGGATCTCCCGTGTGATTCGCCATGGCTGTAATATGTTTTCTCCAGTAATATCAGGCAAGTGACACCAGGGGATGAAATATATTTTCTCCTGTAATATCAGGCAAAAGGGAGATCTTCCCGTGTGATTCGCAATGGACGAAATATATTTTCTTCTATATACGGAGGACAGAGGTTGACTGGACCAGGGAGATCTCAACGTAATTAAGATGACAAACACAGCGAAACAAGAACAAATCACGAAACACGACAAAAAAGTAAACATGCCACACACAATAAACATTATAAGATTGGGATCAGCTCTGTCCCACGTTGGATTTGTACTGGGTGATCTAAGGGTTAATAGATGCATGTGAAGCCACAAGTGACTAGTCCTTTTGAATATGGAACCAAACTATTATTTACATTAAGTTAACTTCTTCTAAACTTAACTCAACATAGCTCATAATAGGACTAATGGAGGAGATAAAAGCAAATAGCTACAAAAAAGCATAGAGAAGTAGAGGAAGGAGCAGATACAGATTTCAACCAAGAATCCCCCAAGATGCATTAAACCATTGATCTAAGCGTTCAGCAGGAGCTGTTAAAGGAGCAAGCTACACATGCACATTTCTGATCAGCAATGTCACCCAGAATTTTCAACAAAATGGTAATATGGGGAGAACTGTAGAAAAGTCTTCTGATTGTGCTACTACCTCTCACCTCACATCGGCAAATGGTTGACCTTGTAAAGAATTACAGTCTTGTTGCCTCAAAATTCAACTTGAATTTTTCCAGCCTTGCAACTAAGAAGAAAATTTATATGGCTGCTAAAATGGGCATTACCTTTTGGGAAAAAAAATAAAATCCCTCACACTAACTAAGCAAAGCAAGCAAATCATCTATCAATTGGGCTGTTCAATCATCGAAAGAAAGGATATTCCAAGAGTGGCAGGGCTTCTTGAATCCGGAAGACCATTCAATATGAAGGGATTTATGGGAAGTCCCTTGTTGATTATCCTATAAAATGAAGATGGCATTTGGTGAATGTGCTTTTGTGGTTTTTCCCAAGTAGTATACATGCAACGATTTCATGATGTTATTATACTTCATTCATTTGGTTGAGACCAAACACAGCCAAACAAAACATTATACATATAAAATCCCTAAGACCAAAAAAAATACCTTAATAAAACAGTAAGTGTAAAGCTAATATAGTGGCCTTGGTTTGTGGCAAACACCATACTTTCACTCCTACAAGATCAATGCTTGTGCCTCTACTTTATAGTCTTGGTTGAACGGACAAAATACAAAACAAACATATCTTATACTTGCACGTCGAAAAGTTTGAACCAAAAAATTTTCAAGAGTCATAGTTTTAATTTGTGCAAAATAATTAAAAAGGCCTGATTAATGAAATATTTCAAATATATGAGAAAAACAGGCAAAAACAACATGACATCCTTAATTATAAAAAGACCAGTCCCGGAAACATACCTATCTTTTTTCCGATACCACTCAATTCACTTGGACTTTTTCTCTTCCCAAGTAAACCTATAATTTGGGTGGGGGAATATTTATATATTTTTTAAAATATGGACATTAGTAGTTGAAGTATAATTAATCATGACTAAACTAATCACAATCATAAGGATACATAACATAGTACTAACATACAGGTAAACAACTTGCTCAATATGATTTTAAATAATACAGGAAATGGGAGGAACAAACATGTCATTATAGACCTTAAAACAACAATTAAAGAAAATAAAATAAAATCACAAATAATAGTTGAAATTAACTACCTGATGATTGAGGAGGCATATTGTGCAAGGACCCTTTGATTTAGGAGCTGTTAGAGCCAAAACCTTAATTGAGAGATGAAAGAGTTATCACAAGATCTCGAAGCCACAGTCAGAAGAAGATGGAGAGAGAAGAGAGTGAACAACGGCTGCGAGACAAAGAAAGAGAAAGGAGATAAGATTCCAACACAATCTTCGTTTATCACTTGCTTGGTCACAAAAATAAGACCACCTCTGCTTGGTTATAAATAAACCTAAAATTGCCATGAAATGGGTTTATTTTTCTTTTTCCTCTCATCTATATATATATTAATCCCAACTTTTTTTTTTTTTAGTTCTGAAAAGATTTCCATCTTCAAAAAGATTGGCATGTTGATAAAAATTGTTTCAGATTTAATCTCTGCAGATTCCTAATCCAATTCAGATTCTTCTTTTCTTTTTTTCTTTTTTCATGCCCAAATTCAAATTTTTTTGCAGACATAACTGACAACAAAAAAAAAAAAAAAAAAAAAAAAGACAGAAATAGAAGTTACAGAAATAAAAAAATATATATTTGTTTTGCTGAAATAAAAGGTAGATTACGGTGATTACCTCAAAATGCAATGCAAATTTTGTTACTATATATGGTTAAAAAAAAAATTATATAAAAAAGATCATAAAAAATTTCACCAAATAAAATTTAGTTTGCAAAACAAGAATTACAGACCTTGATTAGTTGATTTATAAAAAACATTAAAACAAACCCATACATACAAGTTAGCAGTTGCAGAGAGATTGGGGGGCAAGCTTGAGAGTTGAGAGACAGCGGCTGAAGCTTGCGAACGGCGAACCCGAACTGGAACAGCGGGCAATGGAAACTGAAAGATATGGGTTTTGATTTTTTGAACAATCTGAAATTTATATGCCTATATGGGTTTTGAACTTTTGATTATTACAGACAGATAGATAAACTGAAATATATGGGTTTTGAACTTCTGATTCTTCTAGATTTTGTAGTTTGCAGTTGCACACGGAGAGATAGTAAGTTCAGAGTTGAGAACGAGAGTAGAGATGGTGGCGATTGGGGAGGCCGAAATGATTTGCCCTAAATTTTTTTTTTTTTTTTTTTTTTTTTTTTTTTTCTCTGGTGGCCCACCGTCCATGAGCGTATAAATTTTGAGGCCTGGGCGACCCCTTTGTCGCCTTGGTCAGGGCCGATCCTCAGCTTATTTGGTGTGAGTCTTTATTTTAGTACGGTGGCTGAGTTGACTTGGTCTTTGTTGATTAGGCTAATTTTAGGGTGGGGCTAATAATATTAATAAAACAAAAAAAATATATATAATTGGGCGGTCAGCCCACCCCTACAAAACTGCAATTCACTTCGAGATTTAGGGTGGGTAAGAAAGAAGCCAAGAAGGTCCTCCTCGAACTTCTTTTTTACAAGGTGATTTATGTGGTATTTATTTTCTCATGTTTCTAAAACGAAAATCCAGAGAACACATTTGTAAAGACTTGATGAAGGATTAAGTGTTTTGACAGTAACAAAGATCTAAAGCTAAATTCTAACTTCATCTGGATTCCAAAGTTACTACTGTTTGAGTGGTTCTTCCGGTGCCAAAAAAGGTGGGAAGTCCCCATTCCAAGAACTAAAGTGCACATTGAATGGTAGAATTACTTAAAAAAAAAAACCCTTAAACGGGTAACTAAAGTCCTATCGTTAACAAAAATGGACACATGACATGTAAAAAATCTGCAAGCCTAATGATGCAAGCATGATATCACTAACAAAAATGGACACCGGACATGTAAAAAATTCTAACATAAAAGTTCTAGACAAAAATGGCCATTCCCACTAAATGAGTATAGCCAGCCTCGATTGGCCCCAGCCCCCTTCATGAGAGTTTTGGTGTGGAATTGTCAAGGTCTGGGGAATCCCTTGACAGTTTCCCAATTGAGGAGGTTAGTATCCCTCAACTCCCCACCTTTAATTTTTTTGTATGAAACTAAAAACGCCGGCGACCGAATTGAAAAAATTAGAGTTTTTAATACTCCTAATTTTAAAAGGGATATTCCTGGTATTTAATGGTATTTAATTTATTATTTAAGTGCATTTTATTTGATTATGTGTCATTATTTTTTTTATTAGGTGCTTAATTATTTCTTTTGTGGTAATTTAATTTATTTAAATGATATTTATTTTTAGTTATTTGATTGAAATTACTTGTTAGTATTTTAATTATTTAATTGGCATTAATGGTTTAAGTGTAATTGGTTTAATTATTCTATGTGTGTCTTATTTTATGTGTGTCTTATTTGGTTTAATTGGGTTTACTAATTATTATTTTATTTAATTAGATTATTTGTTAAGTATTTAATGGTGAATAGGGTAATTAGGTAAATACATCTAACTAGGGTTTTAATTACAGTATAAATTAGGGTTTTATATTATAGCCGTCGTAGGTTTCTACGTTAATTGGATGGGCCGGTTAGGATTGTGAGTTGGACTTAAATGAACCTAAGGTTTAGGAAAACTCTATAAGTATAAGGTAGACGTCTGTGTAGGGTTTTTTTAAACAAAGCACACGTTTTGTGGAAGTGGGAAGGAAAAACGCAGTTTTTCACATTCTGCCAAGGTTTGATCAAAGCTCCAATCCCGCTTCGTCCATGGTCCGATCGAGCTGAATTTTGGAGGAGAGGTTCACGACTCAGTGACGCACAATCTGAACGGTGGAGATCAGAGTTTGACCTCGGGAACAGTGATTCGTACTCGTGAACAGTAACTGGGTCGCACAGGTTTTTTCCATTCTGCCCAGATTTCATCAAACATCCGATCCCGCTTCGTCCGTGGTCTGATCGAGCTGAATTTTGGAGGAGAGGTTCACGACTCAGTGACGCACAATCTGAACGGTGCAGATCAGAGTTTGACCTCGGGAATAGTGTTTCGTACCCGTGAACAGTAACCGGGTTTTGGAACTCGCCGGGATTTTTTTTAAGAAGACGACGTTAAAACTTTGAACAAAAGTTTCTGAGGCAAGATTTTATCCTTACTCTTTCCTTTAGGCTTCATACTCTTTGCACTCTTAAATGATTCCAGGATTAATGAAGATTAAACCAAACTAAAATGATATCTGTTTTGCTATGAAATTGGTAGTTACAGTAGTGTTGTATGCTTGTTCAACCTAGACTAAGCATGTTTGTGGATGCATTGTGGTTCTGTGGTTCACGTTTTTCCTTACCACTGCTAGTATAAATTACTGGAAGGATGGGTCTAGATGATAGCTATCTTAACTTCTGTAATAGCAACTGTTGGAACTTAAATACTAGGAGGATTTGAGTTTAACACTAGATCGGTTTTGTGGAACACTATAATTTGAGCATGTCTACATACATACTGTGAATATTGTTTTGATGCTTACATTATCACAGTTAGTATCAACTGTGGAGGTTAGGATTTTGTGATACATACCCCACATATCTGTATGTCATTTGTAAGGTGTTAAATGGAAGTTTTAATTAATTCTATTTTTATATCAGACTAAAGGGAACAACTTAAATTGGGCATGTATATGTTGTTGTTGTGACCCTGTTTATCAATGCTTATTTTATCACTGCTAACATTGAATGTTGGATGTTGGAATTTAGTTGATATATACTTGATTTATTGGTATTATTGACTACTGGAGGATTGGAAAGTAGGCACCGGTATGGGACGGTGGCATACTAAGGATGGGTTTGGTTTTTAAAACAATACCATTACCCACCTACTTGGAATAAGGATGGGATTAACTAAAAGTTAAGTCTCGTGGATTTGTATTGTCATGGCAACTACTTGTTGAGCGGCAATACCAAGGATTTTGGATGGATTTTATATATGTACTGTTATGGTGCCTCGGTATGAGTTTGAGCCTCAGGACCGATGGCTAGGGAGCGTATATGCATCGGGATGTGTAGCTGGCTACGATGGTTGGAGGTGTACCCTGTTTAGGTATAGGTACATATGCCCACTTCGTGTGCGTTTTAACATGTTACCTCTATTCAGGTTGAGACCGGCCTGTAGTCCAGTGAGAGTTCTTTAGTGTGACTATATATATATTTACGGACTATTAGCTATTGTTGAATTGTTTAGGATGTACATGCGTATCGGGCCTCTGTTTGGATTGAAGTAGTATAGAATTTGCGCGTGGGCCTGACCCACTTCTATTTTTCAGGTACACGACAGTTCCAGGCTTAGACGTGTTCGTGCTGAGTAGAGGTCTCTATTCACTCTTCCGACGATGTAGGGCTCTTTCTATAGTTTTATTTCTGGACGTTTATTACATTTGTTTTATCTTCCGTTTGGATGTTTAATAGGGGTCCACTAGAGATGGATTCCCAAGTTATAAACTGATGGAGTTTTGGAGTTTGGGTTTGATGGATTTTAATAATTATAATATTTTGCGGATTCTATTTTTAGTTCCTTCCGGCTTTAATTTCATTTCTTAATTTATTTTGTATTCCGTATTCATTATAAAATATTAATTGTTTGATATTCCCTCGGGTTTGGGCCTGGGCCTGATCAACCCGTGTCTCGGATCCGAGGGGTATCACAGAGTTTCATTAGGTTAGTATGAATCTTTTGTTGTGCCCTCTGTCGGTAAAGCCGGAAGGTTGGCTCTTCTTTTCTCCCACGAATGGCAAATTTCAATTATAGATTTTTCCGAATTCCAGATTACATGTCAAGTGACTGGTGGCCGAGGTGATCAACCTTGATTTTTTACTGGGATTTACGGTTCTTGTCTTGAAAAAGAACGTGCTTATCAGTGGCGCTATATTCACAGTTTAATGTTCCAGTTAGGCCCGCGATGGATTTTGATGGGCGACTTTAATGCTCTGTTACACAAGGATGAGAAACGAGGAGGCCGTTCTAAAACCAGATGAATGTTGAAAGAGTTCAAGTTGTTCCTTGATGATTGTGCTCTAATGGATCTTCGGTTTAAAGGTTTTCCGTTTACATGGCGTAATAAGAGAGAAATGGGTAAACTCATCTTGGCTCGTCTTGATCGGGCTTTGTGCACTACTCAGTGGATTCAATCGTTTCCTAGATGTATGCTTCATCACTTATTAGTTCATGGTTCGAACCATAATGCTATCATACTGTGTCTGAATAATTCTATTTCCCATTCCAGACCAGCTTTTTTCTTCGACACTCGATGGGTTAAGGAAAATAATTTTAAGCAGACTGTTGAGTCTGCCTAGAATTCTTCTGGAGTTGGCCCTCCATTACACTCTATTTCTTATAAATTGGTTCAATGCAAGACTGATCTTATATCCTGGAGCCGTGGCCGATGCACCAATGCTCGAACCCGTATTAATTTCCTCGAAGCCAGATTGAAATTCTTGAAAGAGCAAGTCCATGATTTTGACAAGGCTGAATGCTTCAGATTAGCGAAGGAATTGGGTTGTGCTTGGCGTGATGAAGAGTTGTACTGGCTGTAGAAATCTATAATTGCTTGGTTGGAGTACGGGGACAAAAATACCAAGTATTTTCACAGAAGACTTAGATTTGGAGACGGAAAAATGAAATTATTGGGTTAGAAGACTCTACTGGTACATGGAAAGATTCTAAAGATGATATTCGGAAAGTTATGGAAGATTATTTTCACAACCTCTTCTCTTCCCATCTGGTTGGTGATGACTCTCAATTTTGGACTTCTATTCCTTCTAAGGTTTCGTCAGATATGAATTGGGATCTGTTGAAATATGGCACTTTAGAGGAGTTTTGCGATGCTTTAGCAAGAATGGGGTCATATAAGGCGCCAGGGCCTAATGGTTTTACTCCGTTGTTCTTTAAAACAAATTGGGATGCTATGAAGTTTGATCTTCTCCAAGGTTTTAATTCTTTCTTACATGGTGGTTTGCTTCCAATTAATTTGAAGGAAACTAATTTGGTTCTCATCCCAAAGGTGCATCATCCTACCCAAATGTCTCATTTTCGGCCTATATCCCTTTGTAATATGGTGTATAGATTATTTTCTAAAACTCTTGCCAACTGACTCAAAGTTTTTCTGCCCCTTCTCATCAGTGACTCCTAAAGTGCTTTTGTTCCTCATCGACTTATTCATGAGGATATTCTTCTGGCCCATGATCTTTTGCATGTTCTAAAATCTAAAAAGGACGGATATTCTTGTTCTCTTGCTATTAAGCTGGACATGGCTAAAGCATATGACCGAGTTAATTGGTCCTTTGTTTGTAATTTCATGAGTCATTTGGGTTTCAGTTAAAGGTGGGTGGACTTGATGAAAGAATGTATTAGTACTGTATCTTTTTTAGTGCTATTGAATGGTGAAAGGGGGGATACTCTTGTCCCTTTTAGAGGCTTGCATCAGGGAGATCCTCTCTCCCCCTTCCTTTTTCTCTTCTGTACTAAAGGGCTGTCTCTTTTATTTCATCAATTGGAAAATAGGAAAAAGTTAAATGGTTTGAAAATGGCTCGAGGGTGTCTTCTTATTTCTCACTTGTTGTTTGCAGACGATGCGCTTCTCTTCTATAAAGTAAAGATTTCTGAGGTTCGTGGCATTAAATCCATTTTGGATAGATATGCAAACCTAATGGGCCAACTGGTTAATTTTGATAAGTCCTCTATTTATGTTTCTCCTAATACTGATCTGGACTTGAAAGCTATGTGTCGACAGATCCTGTGCATTCACAATGTTGATTGGCATAATAAATATCTTGGGAATCCCTTAATCTTAGGACGATCCAAAGTTACTTCTCTAAATTTCATTTCCGATCGGGTTTCATCCAAAGTTAAGCTTCTCAAAGGAAATTTGCTTTCCAAAGCGGGTAGGGAAGTATTGCTGAAAGCTGTGCTCAATGCTCTCTCGACGTATGCCATGCAATGTCTTAAATTCCCTAAGCAGAATTGTAAGGATTTGACGAGCAAGCTTCTCAATTTCTGGTGGAGTGGGGAGGAAAAATCACATAAGATTAAATGGGTTAGTTGGTCTACTCTTTGTAATTCCAAAGTGTCTGGAAGTTTGGGCTTTAAAAATATTGAGGCTTTTAACTTGGCTTTGCTTGCAAAGATGGCATGGCGCATGGAGGTCGGAAATGAGTCTCTTCTTTTTAAATCTTTTAAGCAAAAGTATTTCAAAAGCTGCACTTTCGTTGATGCCCCATATAAAGCTAAAGCTTCTTGGGCTCAAAGAGGTATTTGTTCAGCTCAGGATATTATCAAAAAAGGGATGAAATGGTGAGTTGGAGATGGCACAACGGTTAACTGTTGGCATGACAATTGGCTCCCGGATTCTTTAAATAGTTCAATTACTTCTCAACAACGGGATACTCCCTTTTCCTCTGTAGCTGATTTAATTATCCACTCTTTTCATCGCTGGAATTCTGAGTTGGTGCAGCGGTTCTTTAATACATGAGATCGGGCTTTAATTCTTCAAATCCCTCTTAGTGTTGTGGGAGGGAAAGATTGCAAGGTTATAATACCCCTAATTTAAAAAGGATAGTCTCGGTATATTTTTAATTCTTTTATTTGCATTTTTAATTTATTTAATTGATGTTTTGATTATATGTTTTAATTTATTTTTAATTTATTATGATTAATTGATGATTTGATTATATGTTTAATTTAATTAAGTGGTTAAATGTCATTTATTGGCTTATTTTAATTTACATGTTTTAATTGAATTATTTGTATTTGTTTATGTGTACTTTGTGTAGCTTAATTATTAGGAACTAAATCATTTAAATGTTTGTTTTATTTTATTTTAAATTTTTATTTAAGGATGGACTCGGACTGTAATAATGGATCAACCGTTTGGGTCTCATAGACTACATGGATAGAAGATTAAATGTGTACGGTTTTATCCATGGAATAGTTATATATATATATGTGTGTGTGTGTGTGTGTGTGTGTATGTATATGTATATGATATCACGTTGGATTAAGGTGCCGATGTATATAATATTATTTATATTATATTTTCTTTTCCTTCTCTTTAAGTAATTAGAATTAGGTTAAAGTATTATTGCCTATAAATATATCATATTATGTCTGCTAAGGGTTAGAAACCCTATTCACGTATACTTAGAGGCCGAAAAATATACAGAAGGGTTTGAGAGAAAAACAGAGAGAGAACAGGGCTAGGGTTTTGGCCAAAGTCAAATACCAGACCAAGGAGGAAGAAGGGGAGGCTGTGCGTAGGTTAGAACAGTACAGTAGAGAGCTTTGACGACAACAAGAGTCACCGAAAAATCTAAGAGGAAGAAAATTAAGTTTCAATCTGAAACTGAAGACAAGTTCTTTCTCTTACTCCTTCCCTTAGACTTGTGTTCTGTGCATGCCTAGGTAATCTCCAGGATTTCATCGGACATTAAAATTGGTTTTATATGAGTGTTAATTCAGAGTTGATGCTTTATTTTGTATTTTTAATTGAAATTAATTTATCGTATCAATTGTTTCAGTATATGTGTTTTAATTGTTGTTAATGATGCATATTGGGTTTATATGAATTTCTTGGTTAATTCGGGACTTAGTTCAGACTCTTAGGACCATCAACAACGGAGAATAGATGGATTGGAACTCGTCGGAGATGAGGAAGATGATGCAGAACAGGGAGAGAGCCGGCTCCCAAGGGGTGAGAGCCGGCTCCCAAAAGGGAATTATTTTGATGACTCGCAAAGGGAGAGAGCCAGCTCCATGAAGTTGAGAGCCTGCTCCATCAAGACGAGAGCTTGCTCTCACAAGAACAGAGTTTGCTCTCAAGTGGACAGAGCTTGCTCCATCGCTGTTACTTTAATAATTTGGGATTTTCGGCTATTGTTTTAAGGTTTGGGATGTTCCAGAGCTGTATAGGATATTATGGATGATTTAAATGACTACAGTGAGCATGTTAAATACCAAGATTGCATAATTAATAATTATATGCTATGGAACGATGAACAATATGAAATTTTAATTAAATTTACATATCGTTAATGGATGGTTTAATTGCCTAGTATTATTCTAGCAATCTAAATTGATGATATATGATTTTAATCATGCATTGACAGTATAATATGATCATGCTATTATCTGATTTTATTATGCTTGTTTCTGGAATTAATTGATGTTTTATTTTAATTATTTCATCAATTATTGGACTGTATGGATGTAATGCACCGGTATGGGACGGTGGCATTCTAGGGACGGATTAACTAAAAAAGTTAAATCCTACCTATTTTTGTATAAAGGAATGAATTAACCATAGAATTAAGTCCTCCTTATTTATGTCAGGCCACCTATTAGATGGATGACATTTTTTTTATCTTATGCTTATACGGACTTTATATATATGATTATGGTACCGTAATATGAGCTTGAGTCTCAAGATCATAGTTAGGGTGCGTATGTCGCCTACGATAGATAATTGGACATAGTTGATATACCCTGGTAGGTCTAGGTATACATGCCCACCTTAGGTGCGATTTGCATGTTATCTTCTATTTAGGCTGAGACAGACCTATGGGCTAGCGAGCGTTCTATAGTGTGTATTTATACATATATGGACTATTTAGCTATTGCTGAGTTATCTAGGATATATATGTGTATCGGGTCTTTGTTCCGATTGTAGTAGATTAGAACTTGTTCGTGGGCCTGACCCAATCTTATTTTCCAGGTGTTCGTCAGTTCAAGGTTTAGAGTTTATTCGTGCTGAATAGAGACAGTCACTCACTCTTCCGACTACGTAGGATTTTTCTTCATGTTTAGTTTTGGATTTTCTGTAGTTCAATTTATTTGCTTTTCCAACTTGGGATATTATTAGGGGTCCACTAGATGGATTCCCAAGTTGTAATAGTATTGGAGGTTTTTGAGTTATTGGATTATTTAATTAATTTTTCAAGGATTATTATTTAGATTCTTTTCAACTTAATTATTTATTCTTTATTCTTTTTGTACTCATGCTTGTTTATATACTTAATTGTTTGGTATTCCTCGGATCTATGCTCGGACTTGATCACCCGTAGCTCTAGAATCGAGAGGTATCACAATTGGTATCAGAGCACTCCAGGTTTACGTGTCCTTAGGAGTGTCTTTCGTTATATGACTTCCGTGTTGCGTTTCTTAAAAGTTAGAGTCATATTATGATTCGTTGTACTCTATTTACGGTTCGTTAAGAGGAGCTAATGTCAAGTATATTATGTAATTATGGAATGGGTGACGCTAGGAAGAGAATGGGGTTCAAGGCGAAAGCGATAAAAACCCATAAAAGTAAATGAGTATGTTATCGATTTATTTGTCAGAAGGCAGAATTAAGGATCGCAGGTTTAGTCCTAGTTGACGCTACTTTAAGGTATAAACTAATGAATGATTTAAGAGTATGTTTTAGGTCACCGCATATCGGGACCAACACAACTTCAATTATTCTCATAAATGAGACAAACAAGGAGTAGTAGTCTGAAAAGGATCCTAATGGAGAAGATTTCAATGTATCCAAGAAAGAGGGTATTAAATCTTGAAGATGAAAGATTGCACGAGGGTGATCTTATTTGCTAGTGATATAGCAAATGATATTAGTAGAATTGGCGTTAATCAATTTACCTATAGTTAAACTTTCCTATCATTTCTAAAAGAGATATATAATAGGTACTTTCCAGGAGTTTAGGGATCGGATGGAGTTCTTATCAGAACAAAATGTATGATTTTATATCACATATAGGAAAGCATTGGTATTAAGTTGCGACATTCTAACTCGCTTTATAAAGCCAAGTTAGACAGTTTACATTTCGCATATAATTGCTTTTAAGACTGTGTTTTAAATGATATGTTTCAAGGATTGGATGATTACCTATGAAACTATAAAAGAAGATTTTGTGGAACAATTTTAAAAGTTGATTTCAGAGGAGATTTTTTTTTTTTTTTTCCCAAGGAAGAATGATGTCTTAAGTAGGAGTATATTTTGTTGTTTTGTGTTTGACTTACGTGTTATATTTTAGTTGTTATTTGGGATTTTTTTTTTTTTTTTTAGTATGTGATTTAGTTAGGGATAGAAGTATGTGATCAGCCAACTATTGTTTTATACCATGGAGTCATAACGTTATTTACGCTAGGATTATGAGCATGTGGTTATAGGATATGGTAGACATACATAAATTTAGCCAATCTATTGGATCTGGACATGCATCATTATGGTATGTTGTTTGGGATAGGGATAGTTAAACCATCACTACGAGTCAAATAGTCTAGAATGATTAGTTTAATATACTTTACGTTAGGTCTGGATTCGTATTTTTTTTCAACACCATGAAAATGGTAGTTGTTAATATTTCAGTATTCGTGAGGTTGTGGTAAATAAAAACCACTACAAGGACACGATAGTTTATCAGAGTTGTCGGAGTTGCAGAACATCTTTTTGGAAATTCCAGAAGTTGTCACCAAGTCAGAAAGAGGATTCTGTATTGGTTTAGGTACTTATTGGAATGACACTGATTGAGGATAATGGACTAAATAAATCTTCATCAGTCTATTCTTAATCAAGAATTTTATTCATGAGAGCATGTCATTTGGAGGAGTTGCCGTTGTTGCGCATAGAGGAGGAAACAAAGTTTCTTCACTACATAAATAATATGGAATTTTTTTTTTAGGTCATAATTTGCAACAATTAGCTATTGCTAGGACATTTATGACTTATCTGGAGGATGGAAGGGTTCCATATTATTTTCAAGTTAGACAAGAAGTTTGTTTGACACTTATTTGTGTTAAAGAAGCAGAATGTGTCAAAGACAAGATGGTAAGACCGATCACTTATTTAATAAGAAGAGGTGCACGGTGTGTGTGAAAAAATTATAGCTAGTTGACTTTTGAAGAATATAATTACCGGTTAATTTTCATTATCAGTAAGTTTATCACGAATCAGTGGTACATGGATTCAGTTGCAGAGTTTACTTTTGAAGATGCTCCAATTTAAATAATGGGTGTAGACGAAAGCTGGAGGTACCAGACTAACAATACTTTCTATAAACAAATTGGAAAGAGGATGCAAGGACTGAGGTTCACAACTCTTAGTTCTTTATTCATCCAGGTGGAAATATGATGCTTCACGGTAGAAGCAGATATTTGGAAGACAGACAGGAGGAGGGACATAGTGATTTTGTCTCAAATTCTAATATTTATTAGATAGTTGAGATGGACCATCAGAGATCACCGGATCCTTGTAACAATTTCCTATACTGAAGTGGAAATGAGAGAGCATTTTTCACGAATTTAGTTGAGGGATTGCTGATTTTACACAAGGGTCAGGATTCTGGTTGGGATATTGATTGACTGATAAATTAAATCAGCTTAATTCTGATCTATTTTGAACTGGTAGTACATCAGTTCATATGAATAGAACGGATCACGAGATAACTTAAATGGATAGAAGTGGTGATTCACACTTTGCATTAAGTTCTGTCTGGTGGAAGCGAATATGGAAGTGGATGCTCTCAACAACCGATATGATATTAAAAATCTTTTGGTTAGTTGTTGAGTTATCAGTTGAATTTATAGCATACGTAATAATGACACTTACTATTACTAAGGTAATTAAGGAGGCCAACTTAGAATACCGAAGCTAACTTTGGAGGAGGTATTACCTTACTTAGATAAAGTTTAAGGTACTGAAGGAGGTTTAGTCGATTCTGTAACTGGTGTAACGGAGGTCGGAGTGACTGAAATGTAAAACTCATAATGTTACAATGCACTTAGATGGTTTTAAGGTACATCGAGACATCAACTGTCAGCTTTGGGGAAAAGGAATGGGTAGGGACATGTATAACATTGTCTCTAAATGCATCGCCTGTTTAAAAATAAATAAATAACTTTATAATCGGATATCATTGGAGATTTTTGTCTCTTCCTATATCAAAATGGGAGTAGGACTAATAAGGAGTGGATGGTTGGTAGAAATTATTGATATTAATTGGAAATTTTTCCATATGAGATAAGAATGATGGATTGAGTAAGTTCGCTTATGAACATTAATTGGAATAATGTTCACTTTGGAGTCTTATATCAGTTCTACTTCGCATTGAAAATGGAGTACGTTATAGCATGTGGATATCCATTATAAAAGTGTTATTTCGAAGGAATTTTCTGAAGATATTAGAGCAACAATTTTGTTTCATATCTCTAGACTGAGGATTGGATTAAGAAATTATATTTGATCTTGGAGGATATGCTTGGGATACATATCCTAGGTTTTCATGGATAATTGGAAGTGATTACTTCACTTTTTTTTTTTTTTTTTTTTTTTTATCTGAAATATTGTTGGCACAAAGAGGATAGTATGACAATGGTTGAAGTTTGGTATATTACATAGTGCAGACCTCTCACCTGTTAGTCTGAAATGGAAGCGCAGGTTATATGATAAGACCTTGACTTCATTTAAGGATACATCAGAGAACAATACTCTCCTTTGTAATGGATTGCGTGCAGTTAATTTGGCGGCGGCAGTAGGATTTTGTAAATAGTTGAACTCGTGTACTAGAGTTTTCTATCAAGAAACAGTTGATTGGGATGTCTTCCATATAGGAAGCAATGTGCGTTTTGGAGGAAGGTCAGTTTTTACGTATTAAATTGATTTTTCATTTATTGTGTTTATCAATTGAGGCAATAGCCTATAGATTAGCGTTACCAATTTGTTGGCGCTGGAAGCATAGGAATTTTGTGCGTATATCCTATGGAACTTGGAGGAATAGGCATCTTTATCCTTAACTAAATATTGGGTAAGATCGAGTTGTTGTTAAATACAACCTAGGAGTTGTACATTTATTATGTTTCTTAAATATAAGAACTTTGATATTTTTGGATGCATTGGAATTCAGTGGAGCTCATACACAAAGGCTGAGTCCACACGAGAACGGAAATGAATTTTAAAAGAAAATGATTCAGAGTTTTGTGAATTCTGAGGACGGAATTTCTTTTGTTAGAGGGGAAGAATGTAATACCCCTAATTTTAAAAAGATAGTCTCGATATATTTTTAATTTTTTTATTTGTATTTTTAATTTATTTAATTGATGTTTTGATTATATGTTTTAATTTATTTTTAATTTATTTAATTGATTAATTGATGATTTGATTATATGTTTAATTTAATTAAGTGGTTAAATGTAATTTATTGGCTTATTTGAATTTTCATGTTTTAATTGAATTATTTGTATTTGCCTATGTGTACTTTGTGTAGCTTAATTGTTAGGAACTAAATCATTTAAATGTTTATTTTATTTTATTTTAAATTTTTATTTAAGGATAGACTTGGATAGTAGTAATGGACCAACCGTTTGGGTCTCATGGATTACTTGGATAGGAGATTAAATGGGTACAATTTTATCCATGAATAGTTATACATATATATATGGGTATACATGTATATAATAGTTACATTAATTGTTTTTTTAGTTTATGCTATATATTGTATAATTATAAAGGTTTATATATATATATATATATATATATGATATAACGTTGGATTAGGGTGCCGATGCATATAATATGTATTTATATTATATTTTCTTTTCCTTCTCTTTAAGTAATTAGAATTAGGTTAAAGTATTATTGCCTATAAATATATCATACTATGTCTGCCAAGGGTAAGAAACCCTATTCACGTATACTTAGAGGCTGAAAAATATACAGAGGGGTTTTAGAGAAAAACAGAGAGAGAACAGGGCTAGGGTTTTGGCCAAAGTCCAAGACCAGACCAAGAAGGAAGAAGTGGAGGTTGTGCGTAGGTTAGAACAGTACAACAGAGAGTTTTGACGGCAACTAGAGTCACCAGAAAATCTAGGAGGAAGAAAATTAAGTTTCAATCTGAAACTGAAGGCAAGTTCTTTCTCTTACTCCTTCCCTTAGACTTGTGTTCTATGCATGCCTAGGTAATCTCCAAGATTTAATCGGACATTAAAATTGGTTTTATATGAGTGTTAATTCAGAATTTATACTTTATTTTGTGTTTTTAATTGAAATTGATTTATCGTATCATTTGTTTCAGCATATGTGTTTTAATTGTTGTTAATGATGCATATTGGGTTTATATGAATTTCTGGGTTAATTCGGGACTTAGTTCAGACTCTTAGGACCATCAACAATGGAGAATAGATGGATTGGAACTCTTCGGAGATGAGGAAGATGATGCAGAACAGGGAGAGAGCCGGCTCCCAAGGGGTGAGAGTCGGCTCCCAAAAGGGAATTATTTTGATGACTCGTAGAGGGAGGAGCAGGCTCCATGAAGTTAAGAGCCTACTCCATTAAGACGAGAGCTTGCTCTCATAAGGACAAAGCTTGTTCCCACGAGGATAGAGCTTGCTCTCAAGTGGACAGAGCTTGCTCTCAAGGGACATAGCTTGCTTCCTAATTTGAGAGCTTGCTTCATCGCTGCTACTTAAATAATTTGGGATTTTAGGCTATTGTTTTGAGGTTTGGGATGTTCCAGGACTGTGTGGGATATTATGGGTGATTTAAATGACTACAGTGAGTATGTTAAATACCCAGATTGCATAATTAATAATTATATGCTATGGAACGATGAACATTATGAAATTTTAATTAAATTTACATATTGTTAATGGATGGTTTAATTGCCTAGTATTATTCAAGCAATCTAAATTGATGATATATGATTTTAATTATGCATTGACAGTATAATATGATTATACTATTATCTGATTTTATTGTGCTTATTTCTGGAATTAATTAATGTTTTATTTTAATTATTTCATCAATTATTGGACTGTATGGATGTAATGCACCGGTATGGAACAGTGACATTCTAGGGACGGATTAACCATAGAATTTAAATCCTACCTATTTTTGTATAAAGGAATGGATTAACCATAGAGTTAAGTCCTCCTTATTTATGTCAGGCCACCTATCAGATGGATGACATTTTTTTTATCTTATGCTTATACAGACTTTATATATATGGTTATGGTACTGTAATATGAGCTTGAGTCTCAAGATCATAGTTATGGTGCGTATATCGTCTAGGATAGATAATTGGACATAGTTGATGTACCCTGGTAGGTCTAGGTATACATGCCCACTTTAGGTGCGATTTGCATGTTACCTTCTATTTAGGCTGAGACAGACCTATGGGTTAGCGAGCGTTCTATAGTGTGTATTTATACATATATGGATTATTTAGCTATTGCTGAGTTATCTAGGATATATATGTGTATCGGGTCTCTGTTCGGATTATAATAGAGTAGAACTTGTTCGTGGGCCTGACCCACTCTTATTTTTCAGGTGTTCGTCAGTTCAAGGTTTAGAGCTTGTTCATGCTGAATAGAGACAGTCACTCACTCTTCCAACTACGTAGGATTTTTCTTCATGTTTAGTTTTGGATTTTCTGCAGTTCAGTTTATTTGTTTTTCCATCTTGGGATATTAGTAGGGGTCCACTGGATGGATTCCCAAGTTGTAATAGTATTGAAGGTTTTTGAGTTATTGGATTATTTAATTAAGTTTTCAAGGATTATTATTTCTATTTTTTTCAGCTTAATTATTTATTATTTATTCTTTTTGTACTCATGCTTGTTTATATACTTAATTGTTTGGTATCTCTCGGATCTATGCTCGGACTTGATTACCCGTGGCTCTAGAATCGAGGGGTATCACAAAGGTATGGGGGGCGTCCCTGGATGGAGCTTTTTCAATTCGCAGTGCATACAAGATTACTCTCTATTCTTAATTTGCAATCAAAGGCAGCCCCATCTGAGAGTTGCAGTTTGAGGCAGCAAAAATTGATTTGTGGCGCACCGTTTGGTCCATTAATTCTCCTAAAAAAATTCAGCTTTTTCTTTGGCAAAGCTTGCATGATCGTATTCCTGTGAATTCTTTGCTCTCTATTTGGGGGATTGATACAATTTCTTCGTGTCCATACTGTGACTCTGCAATCGAAACAATCGACCATCTTCTTTGTACCTGTCCTTTTGCAAGCTTGGTCTGGTTTTTTTGCCCTCTGCGTATGGATTTTCGAGGGACACGTCCCTCCTTTTGGCTTAAGAGGTGGATTGCGCTTACAGAGCAGTGGTCTCGGTCTAAGAATATGCAGGAATGTGTGAGTTTTGCTTCTTTCATATGTTGGACTATTTGGAAATGTCGCAAAGATCTTTTCTTTGCTAATCGTCAATAGGATCCTTTTGAAGCAGCTCAGAAAGCACATCGCAACTTTATTGAATTCCAAGAGATTTCGCACCAATCTTGTCTTCTATCACTTTCCTCTCCTTCTGTGGCTCCTGTTTCTTTAAAGTGGTGTGCTCCGGCAAGAGGCTATCTTAAGCTGAATTTTGATGCCGCTTTTAACTTCTCTCGGCTACTCTGTGGAGGAGGTTTGATATTGCGTAATGATGTGGGTCGTCCCATCCGGGTGGCCTCTTTCTTTTTCTCCCATGTGAGTGGCCCGTATATTGTTGAAGGCTTAATTCTTCGTGAATGCCTTTCTCTTCTCAAAGTGTGGGGTTATGAAAATGTTGTGGTGGAAGGGGATTGTCAGCTGGTGATGCGTCTCTTATCCTCTGTTGTGGCTTTAAGTGTAATTTTTAATGATGTTATTTCTATTCTTAAAGCTTGTAAGGGGGCTTCTTTGGCTTGGGTGCCTCGCGAAGGCAATGGGGTGGCTCATTTGCTTGGTAAAAAAGCTTTAGTAGTCGAATGTGGTGATTTAGAGTGGAGGGTATGGCCCCAGTGGCTATTAGACGCTCTACTTCCTGATTGTATTTGTTTTCCTTCTTAATCTATCGTTGCTTTGCATAAAAAAAAAACTAAATGAGTATATGGTTTAAATTTACCCTAATTAATAACACACCACAGCCCGAGAAAATGGGTTAGGTTTTTGGGGGCACAAAGTTTACAAATTATATACCTAAATGTGTGAAAAATATTCATTTCTAAGGGTATTTTTTTAAAAAATTAAATTTTACGAAGGCACAAAATAATATTTTACAAATATTATACCTACATGTATAATAATTTCAATGGCCAGCTTGGGCCCGAGGGGCACCCTTGGGCCCAAGCTGGCTCCGTCCCTGAACTACTTACGTGAATAATTTATAAAAAGGTTAATTGCTCCGACACCTCCTTCAAATTTATCTTTATTGCTCACGCATTAAATTAGTGGGGAAAAAAAAAAAAAAAAGTCTAAACCATCCCTCAAGTTTGATTAAATTTGCCCTGACACCCCTTCTTAATTGATAATTAGTTTAAAAAGTCAAAATCAACTAATTAAAAAAATATAATACTAAAACTAACCTTTCCCGATTTAAGTCATTTTAATTTAGACACAAATATCAACCTAAATTAGCTTAGATATATCATTTTAATTTACGCATAAGCATGAATCAAAGAAGTGCACATACCATACATTTAAGAATCTGAAATACACCCATGATTGGGCATTACATTTAAGAATCTGAGATACACCCATGATTGGGCATTTCACTGAAAATTCAAAAAACATCTAGTGTTCTCAATCTGATTTCGTTAATTAATCCAATGAAGTTATTTTGAAATTGATTAATATTATAAATATATATATATATATATATATATATATATATATATATATATATTTAAATCAATCCAATGAAATTATACATTGAACGTAGAGACCACTGAAAAAAAAAAACCCTTAAACGGGCAACTAAAGTCCTATCCAATGCATTGGAGGGCAGGTAATAGCCCCTTTGTATTACTCAAAACACGTGCATCAATATCACAAGACACCTTCACAAAAACTGCATACTGAAACTTGCCAAACATTTCATACATCCGTTTCTTATCTACCATGCATGGCCAAAATTCAAATTACAGGAAACCCGGTCTGACCCAATAATTACAACTGATACAATTACAATTGAACAATGTTAATCTCATCATATGAGAATTACATTATAACGCGTGGTGACCATTTGAAGTAGCTTCAAAACAACGAATTGCCAATTATACCTGCACAGGAAGCCCAAAGACAACATTACATACATCATCATCAAAATGATTAAAGCGAAACTATAAAGAACAATCGGGCAACAATATACGAGTTCATTTGGAAAAAAACATAGAACTCAAGATCACAGAAAATCTCATATCACCTATATAGAGTATATCCAAAGTCAGCAGCACTAGCTCATCAAAGAAACGTCCAATAAGCTCTTATATTAGTACACTGTACAAATCATCTTTTTTTTTTTTTTTTCCTAGTTGGGAAACTCACACACACAGCCTACACTGCACAAATCATCTTCATATAACTATGTAAAGTTCCATGCCTTCTATAATTACTTTGTCCATCCTGAATTGGTCCGAGGTTACCTTGTCTTATCATATAAGAATGTGAATATATCAATGCCTTCTTAAATACTTCGACCCTCATGAATTAGTTCCGAGCTTACCTTGTCCTCGGTTTCATAAGAGAATGACATTGTGCTCTTTAGTGGACTTAGCATTTCTGTTCCTTTTAAGACTTGTGAAGATTGTTCCTGTCCAAAATCAATAAAAATACAGGCATATTAATTAAGTAATGTTGTAATGTGCACAACAACTTGATTAGGAAGCCTTAATTATACTATAACCTAGTTCCCTATTAAAGCTAGCTTAGGTTTATCCGATCCAATTAAATCTGCTAACAAGTCCTTAAAACTATACTTTGGTTGATTGGTCTTTTCTTTCCTACATCAACCCACATCGTCATCTAGAACCACATAGCTCCTCACTCAAATTTTTGTTTTTTTTTTGAGAAGTAAATAAGCACATAGCTCCTCACTCAAGGTCAATAAATCAACCAAAAGACACTCTCATGTATTAACCGTTGGTAATATCTCAAAGCTTAAACATGTACACTTGTACCAAGTTGAAGTGTCATCCGAATCATACTTTCATCCATACAGAAAATAGCTCTTGTTGGGCATCCCTTGATCAGCAATTGAAATGGTCACCCTCTCCTACTAATACGAACAGTTAGTTTCAATAGATATAATCTTTAAAGTTCCACATCTAAGAGCAGTGGCAAAAAGCTTGGAGTGGATACTAGAAACAGCTTAACATTCATAAATTCAAAGTTTTGGAGCCCCACAACACATTTAATTAATGTAAATTTGAATTCAGAAAAAAGTAGCCAATAACTTATTACAAAACAGCATGACAAGTTCAATCTCAGTGATATGTTTGTTTTTTCATTTTCTTAAGCTAATTAGAAATTTTTTTTATACCAAAAACAGAAAAAAATTGCAAATCTATCAAACAAAAACATGCCCTAGTTCAAAACCCATAAATAGATGCCAAAGTTCAAAACCCATCGCCTAAAGTGACAGGGAGAATATGAGAGAGAGAGAGAGAGAGAGGACAAGAGGAAAGCACGATTAGGGGTGAGACAAAAAATAATGGAGCAGAACAATATCTAAAATTTACAATAACCCTCAAATCAAGTCTGATTAATTCTCTCACATAAAAGGGTGTTATAGACAACAAACCAAAAAGCGACTTTACCCAGTTCTGATCCCGCCACAGCAGGGTCCTGAAGAGGAAGGACTCGAGACAGACCTAACTTTTGATATTTAACAAAGTGGATGCTCTAAGACTTGAAATTGGGCCAGTGGCACTGATGTTCAAGCATTCTATAGCTGAACTAGGCAACGGCCTCATCCACCGTTCTAGGCACAACCTAGAAATCAGATCATAGACAACCAAATAAGGGAAACAAACTAAAACATGAAACTTAAGGGAAAAATACCAAATAAATTCAAAACCCTAAAAATAATTATATGAAAAAAGCCTTGCCGATTTGTCTATGCATGAAGTAGACAACAATGCCAAGAGTACCATTGTGGCAAAGCAGTGATTAGGCTATCAAGGACATTTATAATCTGATCTCTAGGTTGCGCAACCTAGAATGGTGGATGAGTAGGCACTAGTGCTGATGATCGATGAAGCAGTTCCACTTATGGACACACCAGATGGGAAATAAGGTGACAAATCCTCCACATTGAAAGTAGACTAATCCCCATATCTAATAGTATGTAAATTAATTATGCATTGCCTACTAGCTTACAAAGATATGATAAGGTTCAATGGCTAGGGCATGCAGTTTTTTGAAAGAGATTTTAGAATAACACTCTGACAGTACACATACCAGAACAAAATCTCCTTCATTGAACTCTTGATCCCTACAATACTTAATAAATAAAAAACTCTTGATCCCTAAGTTTATGATTTTCAAAATAAAGATGAGGGAATAATAAGGTCAACAGGCTGATGAAGGGAAAATCTAATTACTATATGCAAACTCCGATGTTACTTTCCATGATTGATTTCAATTATTGATTAAGGTTCTTCCCCAAATTTCTTCTTCTTCCCTCTATTCTCCATCTCTCTCTTTCATTATAAATCACTACCATTTTGGCCAAAAAACATGTGTATTACAATTCTCTATTAAGAAAATCTGGGATAGTGGTTCCAGAGAAAGAATTCCCCACGGCACATATTAGTATTAAAGCACCATAAAAAAACACTGTCCCAACTAAGAATTTTACTTTTTCAATATGAGAGGCCAAAAGTGAATGGAACAGTGGGACAAGCATAAATGCAATCAACCTTATAACTATCATAATAGTGAAAACACAAACTTTTCGTATGTTATGCCAAAAAACACTTCACCGGTTATACATTCAAGTTTGTATCAAGAGAATGGGTCTACATCCTGCCAAAGTAATAAGAAAACTTCATCGAAAACTTCAGCATCTCACTTGAAATAGCATTTGAATGAATAGTAAACCAAGATCAAGTTCACTTAACCCTTCATACTTCATCCTTCTAACCTATCAAGCCACTTCGTGAGGCAAGATCTTCTTTCACGGTTTAGTACACAAAAGCACTTGTACCTCAAATTTTTCAAAGCCTTTTCCTTGAGTTCTCAAAATCTGAAAATAGAAATTGTTCTAAGAGAAGATTATTCTGTTAAAGTGGACCTTTTTTAACTCCATTTTCATAGAACAGTTTTTAAATATTAGTTAATCAAACAAATTTTTAAACAGAACTCAAATTTGGGATAAATGCAAAAGAATATCTGAGTTTCTCGTTTTGTCACCTAAATATCCCCTTGTGAAATCAGGGTTTTCATCAAACTCAATGTTCTTCCTGTGTTTAGACTTCCCCTCACCAATTTAGTTTCATCAATACTATGTTATCAGCATGCAACAATCACCACAGTTCAAACTTCATAAAGGATGCTACATCACCTGTGCTTCTAGTTCTTCTTCTTCGACCATCAAGCTATCTTCTTTAAAGCTGTTTCTTCATTGTTTTGGTGAAAGTAAATAAACTACAACACCTAATTTAGGTATGATATGGTAGCCTAAATTTTGTCTACCTTCTCCAAGAAGGCGTGATCTGATGGAAACAATTTCTAAATTTATCTGTTTGTATAGAAGTAACTACAAGCAGGAGTGAGGTTTCTATTGTTTTATAGGAGCAGCTTCATTTTTTAATACTGTGCCATTAGAACTTAATAAATACTTGAACAGTGTCCTTAGATGTTTTGGCTAAGAATTCTGTATTTAGGTTATTCTTTTTTCAGTTGAAGACAACCTTTTGTTACACAGCCCCTTGTAATATTGACATGAGCACCTTCTTTGCATGATTTTCTACCTGTTCTACTAAACTTCAAATATTCCTTAATTTAAGTGCTCATTTGAGCAATTTTTTATAAACTAACATCACAATGAAAAATCAAATTAAGCTGATATTTAAATGCTGGTCCCGACTCTAAATTCCAACCCTGGAATCCAGCAAGAGAATAAGAACATTGTCCAGACATTGTATTCAAATCATATTCCTGATTTGAAAAGCACACGCACACAAACTTGTCCCCAGGGAATACTAGTAAAATCATCATGACTGATATTTCAATTTATCTATTACATTTCAACTTCTCCATTATGCATAGTATTTCATGTGAAATAACTAAAAAAGAGGTGGGTGTTTTAATATGAGATGCAAAAAACAACGAAACTGAATGGACTATGGAGAACAAATATCTACAGTGACAGTCATTTTGAGGGATTCTTGAAGTGAACCTTAGTTAGAAACTTGGAAATGGTGGCGTTCTCTAAATTCAAGAATCTACATGCACCTTCTATTGATAAAAGCCAAAACAATGGACATGAGTCCTCAGTATGTAAAAAGAACACAGCCAAAACTGAAAGAAACAAGCCAACATATCCCCAAGAAATGATGAGAAATTAAGACCATTTTTAAATTAGATCAATATGAGATTGGCAATCCAGTATAAAAGATCAAATTTATTTAAAAATTCGTGGACTCAAGAAGAAAAAAAAAATTGCAGTCAAGGAACTTGAGACTTAAATTATTGCAATTGTGTGTTGTCATTGTCATAGCACTTTCAATTGATCAAAAATATAAAGCTCTAAAGAAACAAAAGGGTTCGTGCAAACAACAGTTCACACTTTACAGAGCTGAATAAGGTTAGCACCACTGAAAAATACATATCCAATAAAGTCGCTACCAAATCTGAAATGACCTATCATTCATTTTTTTTTTTAATAAGTGAAATGACCTATCATTCATGCTTTTAACTATTGTAAACAGAAAAACGTAAATAGTCAGTAGTCGCACCTCAACTACATCAAACTGATTTACATCTGGTAGACAGGCTCAATCCCGAAGGCCAAGTTCAAGCTCGAGCTCATCATCCTCTTCAAACAACTTTAAAAGACGGGCATACTGTTCCTCACGCTTTTTCTTTTGATATAATTTGAAAAGAAAAAATGATAAAAGCACAACTGCCACCAGCAGAAGACATATGATGATTATCTTGGATGCAGTGCCACTACTAGAAGTAGATGGAGCATCAACCTTTTTCTCATTTTTGGAACTTGATGAATCATTTGAGAAGCCTGAAAAGACAAAATGTCAGAGAAACCAACTAGATTACAAAAGGAGAGAAATTTAAAAAACTTTTTGGACATAAGTCTGCCATTTTTTAGCATGTCAAGCACTGTTTTCAAAGAAAAACCAAAACCAAGTACAACTAAGACCAATAGCAGTTCATTATTTTTTAACTATAACGAAGCAGAACTGCCCAGTTAAATTTTTAGTGTTGTTCAATGTCATTGCATAAAGTCAATATAGCCAGACATTATCCACCTATTTGATGTTGAAAAAATAAACACTTGCAACCAGATAATATTGCACAAAATAGATATGTCAATGCTTTTGACACATACTTGAACTTTTTACAACTTAAAGACTCAAAATGATAGTCAAATTTGTAATATTTGCATGAGTCCTGCAATATACAATTCAATTATGTTATTGCTGATCACTCATGAATCGTCTCATATCATTCCCAAGTTCAAAATAATTACCAATGCTAAATGCTTTTTAATATTGAAATTCTGATAATGAGATTATGCGAATTATAATTGATATTAATGGATGCCTGTCAAAGCAATGATATATGAGATTATCATAAGAAAATATTATAAACAAACAAAAAGAGAAAAGAGAGAGAATGACGATATTATGTGAATTTCTCCCAAACAGTTGCTTTACCAAGAGCAATACCATGAAGTATAGATGGGAAACTCATAAGTCCATATTAGAATTTAAACCAACTCACCACAACAAAGCCTTTTGTCAACTGTTTGTGGTCAGCTACACAAATTTTGTTTCGTCATTGTCTCACGCTTAAGGCCATTACCTCAGTTAAACCACATGATATCATTTATTGCCTAACCATCTCAAGCCATGTTAGTTTTGGTCTTCCCTTTCACCTAGCATTGCCCAGAAAAGGACCATCTCATTCAACTAGTGCAATTATTGGTTATCGTTGCATATTGATAAACCATCTCCCGATTAAAAATTAAAATACAAAAAATTAATACATTGATGTCTAAATAGAATAGTGTTAGCTTACACCTCATATACTCATTTCAATATACACATGAACATAAATGATGCAAGTACATAAAACCACATTTAAATATACACATGCATGACGTGCTTGACTGTGTGTGCGTGTTTTTGTGTGTGCATTCACAAAAAATTTTATTTGTTTACTTTTTTTATAAAGATAAGTAGCACGTCAACGTGACATACTATGAAAAACTTATAGACATCTTTTTCCCTCTCTCTATGGTTATATATGCCATTCTATTTGTTGCCACATCCATAGCATAATTTGTGCCCATTAGTTCTTGCAAAAACTAACATAATTAATGCATCGTCTATTGAAAATTTGAAACACTAGAAAGCTATTAGTGATTACACTAAGTTGCAATCAGTTAATTTTAGTTATTTTCAAATTGCTATGTATAGATGACATATGACTTGGTGTTAGAGGGTTCTTTTCTCGCATCATGGGGACGGTCTTGGCCTTATAAGGGCCTGTATGCAGCACTACCAAAAAAACTAAAACTTTTGGGTCATATGGCAACCGCCTGGCCCGTCACAAGTGGTATTAGAATAGGCTCAATCCTTGATCAGGTTTCATGTCAAGCACTACCACCCAGGTCCTCCTACCGTTAGAGGAAACCAGCAAGTAGGGTGGTTCGTCGAGTTCAGATGCGAGAGAATGATAGAGGGTTCTTGTCCCACATAGGATCCGGATGGGGAAGGTCTTAGGCTTACCAGAGCGGGTAGCAGCTTAAGCTTTTGGGTCAAATGGCAAGCACCCTACACTTGTAGATGTGAATCAAGATTCCTCCTAGTTTCTGCTTTTTTTCATTATTTTCGTGACTAATTAAATATCAGATTGAAAAATGTAAAATACTAAGATCAATCTAAAACCTAAACAATAACGCGCCCAATAATATTTGACAAAAGAAATCAAATTTTATTAAATGAAAAGAACAAATAAAACAAATTCACATGCTATTTAAAGACAAATAGGAACAAAAACTAATTCAATATGAACACACAAACAATCCAAACAGATCCATCAAGGAAATTAAAGTCCTCAAATTAAAGTCGCAAGATCAATGTCAATTTGATTGCAATGCATGTATACAACGGTGGAAAAGATTGGTAGAGATCTGAGAAACGAACCTGTAAGGAATTGTAGAGAAATTGAGGAGAATAGTAGTAGGAAGCGCAGCGATACCAGACCTGAGATCTCAGTCATCTCTCTCTAAACTCCCTCTCTCTAAAACTCCCTCCCCGAAAATACCGCTCTTTGGTTTTTTTTTTTTTGTCAACAAAACTACGCTACCGAGTCGATAACAAGAAAGAAGCCACGGGTTTCAAGTTTCAACTATTTGTGTAGGTTTGCCTTATATTTTTCTCTCTCACCTTCGTTCAAGTCTTTGAACGACAACGAGTCTAGTGACTATTGTGTGGGTGGGAAAGCCCAATGGCACGTTTGGTCGCGGTAGGTTAATAGGTTGGATTTGAGATTGAGTAGTGAAAAAAAAAAAATATATATATATATATATATAAGAGACTTGTCAAACAACTTCTACCTAATTTGGGTTTAATTCGGCTCGCATCATCTGCATAATTTTGATTATAAAAAATATAGAATATCCTCATAATTAATAATCCAAAACATTATAAAAATGAGTGAAAATAAAAATTAATTAGTCATATATTTTTCTTATAACTAATTGAAAATTATATTTTATAAGTAATCATACATATTTTAAACACTTCTAATCCAACTCTACATTTATTACATTTTAATCCAACTCTACATTTATTACACGTCGGGGTGCACGAGCTTGTGGGCGAGGAGTCATAATGGGCAAAATTAACTCGGGGAACCTCCAAATCGAAATCCGTCTCGAGCAAAACACTTCTTAGGCTTCTAAGAAGCTCGCATAAAATTTCCGAACCCAAACTCCAAACTTCATTTTTTAGCATACGATGCCCACGTGCACGCGGGGGTGCTTGAGCGTACGGGCGAGGAGTCATAATGGGCCAAAACTAACTCGTGGGACCTCCAAATCGAAGAAGTCGGGGTTTGTTGCACGTATTAGCTCTAGAATTACTACGGTTATCCGAGTAGCAGGTAACATGAAACAAACTATAACTGATTTAATGAGCCATTCGCAGTCACCTGTGATCCATGTGACGTGGTTGTCGCGGAGCATGGCTCATGGGCGTGCACTTGTTCTCTCGGGTGCGGAACACATTGCGGGCATGGGGGCTCGTCCCTCTATCTGCCCACGTAGAAGCGTTTTGTACGACAGTCATGCCCGCCTTGACCTTACGGCTCATGCGGTGCTGGCGTCGCGCGAGTCATCAGCTCACGTTGACTACGTCCCTGCCCTTTGTACACACCGCCCATCGCTCCTACCGATTGAATGGTCCGGTGAAGTGTTCGGATCGCGGTGTCGTGGGCGGTTCGCTACCGGTGACGTCGCGAGAAGTCCACTGAACCTTATCATTTAGAGGAAGGAGAAGTCGTAACAAGGATCGTTCGTCTGACTTGGGTATAGGGGCGAAAGACTAATCGAACCGTCTAGTAGCTGGTTCCCTCCGAAGTTTCCCTCAGGATAGCTAGAGCCCGGACGAGTTCTATCGGGTAAAGCCAATGATTAGAGAAATTATTACATGATTCTAAGCTAATTATTAATTAACACGTAAATAAATATAGTGATCGGCCGAGATGATCATTTGATCATATAATAATTTTTCATATTAAAATACACTCAAAGCCGTCCTAACAGAGTATCATAGACAAAATTGCCAGCTCGTGATTGGTTTTGCGGAATGTTCCTCCCTTTCTCACAATGCCAAAGACACTCAACCAAACAACCATCTAGTTTTTCAACCTCCTTTTGAGAATGTTCGTCGTTTTCTTTTGTTAATTACATCCTTACCCCTCCAGCACTAGGGTCGTGATAATGTCCCAGAGCTCTAGTTGTCTCTTACACCCATTGTGACTTGTGCAACTAAATTTGCTATAGCGGATGGCACTGCTGTCAACGACTGTGCCACAATAATTGGGCGGGCAACAGGGTTATTACAGATCCCATGTTTACTCTTCGACCAATATGTAGAAATCTAGACCAAAAACCGACACTACCAAGGGCACTTGTGGCAACGATCACCCACTCATGTATGAATGCAATATACCGCTATATAACCATTAACGACCATACCAAACCAAACAGTCAAACACTTCTGGAAGTGTTCGAACTTCACTTCTAGAAGGGTTCGGAAACAAAATGTCTTTTCTTACCGGTTTAGGAACTTAAGAGACAGACACATGCATATAGAAATATACACTAGTACCAAAAAAATTCATTCAACGGATTCAGCAGATTAATTATCACTCATTTTCTTTTCAGACCTTATCAAAAACCTTGGTTCTGAGGTGAGGAATCATAATATGCCATACCAATCAAAACAATGAGATTACCAAAAATTTCTCATACCAAATCAGGTGACTGAAGAACATAATACACAATGAGATGACAGAAAAGATGATATAATGACACTTAACAATAAGACTTATGCTATGTCTATAATATAATAAATAAGATGGCCAAAAAAAGGATTGTGATGTGCATCTGAAACACAAAAGCTATGTTTCATCTGTTTGAAACAGGAACAAACTCTGCTACTAAAAACACAAGAATATATGATAAAGAGCACAACCATTTGTTGTGATGAGATTATCATCACTTGAAGCACTTAGCGTCCAAAAGTGCCTCCCCTTCAAAAGGCTCCTGATCTTCAATCATTTGGCTGACACGTTCTTTCTGGGCTTCATCTGAGATGTCAACTTTCTTCCAATCGTAGAGCTCCATGTCGTAGCACTCATCAAGTACAAACTGAGGAATTTCTGGGCCACGAAACAGCCACAACCCCTTCACCTTGTATGGGGGTTCTGAGCCGATCACCAGCATCTTCCCAAAGGCATACTTGCGGGCCAGATCCATACGTTGAAGAAATCCACCTACCTTGTTCAGAGTTACGAAGGAGACAGTATTCTCTTCATTATACTTGTAATCACAAAACCAGAGAGAGTATCCCTCGGGGTCATACATGTCCCAGAAACCTGCAACGACCAGACGGCACAAGACAAGAATATTAAAGACTACTAATCCCATCACAATATTAGCATGTAAAGGTGAAAAACAACAGGTGACAATAATTCTCTGTATATATCAATGTGCAACAAATAGGATGCAATTTACCCAAGTATGAAATTCGCTTGACATTCGGGAAATTAGCATAAAATTTTCGCATTTTCTTTGTTTAGCTTTATCCACTAGCTGGTAAATGTTCTGATGCATTTGTTGTGTAGCTGCCTGGAATCCATTTGACTTCCTCTCTTACAGTGGCAGTGGTGACTGGTGAACCAGGCTCATCATTTTCGGTTCTTAGCAGGGCTATCATATTCCTATTTTTAGTCTTAATATCATAGAAGATGCAAATGTTGCCTGCTCCTTTTTGCCATCTATTGTTCTTTTATTGTTCTATTGGATATCCATGGCTTGTTTTTTGGGTTTTAGCTTCCGGAAATTGGTTTATGTATTTACAAGGGGATTCTCTCAGTACTAGTTTCCTTGACTTAAAATTGACCTCGTCATGTGCCAGATATGAATGTTTAGTGAATTTCATACTTGTGACAAGACTAGCATCCTATTTCATACTTGGGAAGTGAAGGTGCACTACCTAAAGAGATTACTAGAATATAATTGAAATGGATAGGAAATACCTTTTATTGCAACCTCACGGAAGTTGGTCTTTGTATTTGAGTAGAGCCTTTTCCACTCATCCAGTATCATCTTACTCGGTGGCAGCAAATCAAGGGGATTCCTAGGTTTCGGCTTTGGTGCCTCTTCTTCCTCAACAGCTTCTACTTTGGGCTTTGCTGGCTCCTTGACTTCTTTCTTTGGTTCATCCTTAGGCTTTGATTTAGCAGCTTCTTTTGGCCGAGAAGGTTTTTTTGCAGCAGGAACAGGAGGAACTGTTTCTGCCTGCTTTACCTCCCCCAATATCTTACTAAACTTTTGTTGATTGACCATGGTCCAGAAGTATCTCTCGACGTGAGGGAACTCCGAAGTGAAGCTCTTAGTCATGATCCGACTGAATCCCATTAACAAGTTACATGTCATGATAATGTCAGCCAATGTCACAGCATGCCCAACCAGGTAAGTATTGGAAGCAAGATGTGTGTTCAATGCCCCAAGAGATCTCTTAAGCGCAGAAATTGCAGCTTCCTCAGCCTTCACGCAGAAACAATGAGTACAATTTAAAATGAAAAGGAACTAGTTCAAAGCAAAACAAACAAAAGTGCATTTATGTACGAAACTTCAAACTAAGTTGAGTTGGATGATAATGTCTTGTGCAAAATAATGTCATGAACTGTCTGTATTTTTTCTTCACGCTGATTACACAGATCTCTAAGTAAAGGAGATCATCATTGTTTCCAATATAATAGGATGCATTTTGGATAACCAATTGAAATGGAGATCCTCAATATTACACCCAAAACACTGGCAGCAAAGATCCATCCCCACAACTCCATTTGCAAGAATATAATCATAACCTCTTTGTACTAAAAAGTTAGAATATCATCTCATATGATCCCAGAACTACAATGTTGTTTGATAAACAAATTTACCACTTAAAAACGAACATGTAAAGTGATTTTGCAATAAAAAAGTAAAAAAGTAACTTAACTTAAACGGAATCAACATTTTAAGTGAATATAGCATCACTTATAACTTGTCATTAAATACGCCGATTTTGAGATGCCAATGAACCGAGCTATTTGTGAACAACTCGAGCTCAGCTCATGTTTGTTTGCTTAGTAAGCGGAACAAGCTCGAGCTCGTTTATTAAATGAGACACAAGCTCAAACAATGCTAGGCTCGGCTGGTTTGTGTTCGTGAACAGAGCTCGTTTTAGAAGCCTGGTTTGCGTTAGTGAACAGATCTCAAAGTTCAAATGAGATACTCAAGGAGGGAGGGGATTCGAAAGAGATAGCCCCAGATTTTTAGGCCCATTAGGCCACATCATTAAAACACAACCGTCTACATTATATCCTCACATCCAAACAATTCATTTTATTTCCTCATAACCAAACAGTCTTTCAACGGGGTAAGTTGTCCTTCTAGATTCTACCATCAAACGTTGATCTATCTAATTCGCTTTTGCTCTCCCTCGTCCATTCCCAAACCCTAGCTCTCTCACTGATCTCTCCTATCATTTCTTATTCTCTCTCCTGATCTGAACAACATTTTTATATCTCTGATCGTTCATTGTTGCAGACTACACTCTCACTCTCTCTCTCTTACTGTTCAAATCAAAGATCAGTCGTTTTTTTGAACTATCTCTGTGTAGACCGTTCTCTTGTACAAAATTGTAACAGAAAGATCGTAGATCAAAGGCAGCGGTGGCGATTTCCAATGGCTATGTTAAAATATATCTCTATATATTTATATTTATATTCAAAATATCTCTAAATGCATCATCTTTGAGTTTATAATTTTCTTCCACATTAAACAAAAAATGTGTAAACTAATTGCGTAGATTTTTTAAAAAACCAAGCTCGAGTAGACCGTTCTCTTGTACAAAATTGTAACAGAAAGATCGTAGATCGAAGACAGCAGTGGCGATTTCCAATGGCTATGTTAAAATATATCTCTATATATTTATATTTATATTCAAAATATGTCTAAATGCATCATCTTTGAGTTTATAATTTTCTTCCACATTAAACAAAAAATGTGTAAACTAACTGTGTAGATTTTTTTAAAAACCAAGCTCGAGCTGAGCTGAGCCGAGCCTGAGCTTTGATGAAAAATGGTAAGCCCAGCTCAAGCAAGCTTGGCTAGGCAGAACTCATCAAAACGCAAACCAAGCTCAAACACTCTACCAAACTTCGTGACCCAGCCAGAACGTCCCAAAACTCACCTCGGCCTTAATGTTTTTATTAAACCAGACAAATTATATCCTCAGTAGAAATTAAATATAATATATTCAACACTTCAAATCTTCACAAGGTCAATTTTCAGTTTTATCAAACAGCAACCATGTTTAAATGGAGTGAGTTGGAGAAAAATGGAAAGAATCAAATAAAAAATTCATCTTCTATTTGGCTTGAACAAAAATAAGTAGAAGATAAGGAGAGTTGAAAAGATAATCCTTACTGTTTTAATTTCTTTCATAAGTGTATCTAGAAGTACATGAGAAACTATAACAGTGAAGAGTTTCTTTGAAATTCCCATCCACGACATTTTGCAAAATGGAAGAGCAATACTGTCAATAACTAAGAAGAATAAAAATATCTCCATTCTTTAGTACCAGAAAACAACTTTCTTTTCATCATCTCTCTTCTCATTTTTGTCCTCCCCAAAAACTGGCTTCCCAACAGAGTGTACTATATATATAATCATATGGTAGTCATACAGGAGTAATTTAGAATGATGTGAAATGATAGATTTATTCCAATTTTGATATGTACTAAATGAAAACATTTCTAGCTACATAGAACACTTGATCATAGTGATACAGTTCAATTCCATGCCACGTTCAAACATCGATTGTATGAATCAAAAAAATAGCAAAAATGATAAAACAAGAAAAAACAGAAGAAATAACTAACCGGGGGAAGGTAAACACCAAGTCCCATTCTTGGATAAAACCACTTCAAAATATTGACATCTATCTCTAATGATGCAAAGTCAATCCACTGCTCAACATGGGCCTAAAATTACGAAAACAAACAATAGCATAAGCATAAATGATACTCAAAGGAGAAATATACATCAAGGAAGGCAGAAGTTCTTACACATTCTATTTGTGAAGAACCATTTAGGGGATTGTTAGGCTTCAAGTGAGAAACTGTAGCAACCAATACAACGTCATAAGCATCACTCTTACGGTCAAAAGAGAAAGAGAAGCCAAAATATAATCTCACCATAACGTGCTATAGCATTGCTCTCAAAAATGGGACCATCAGGAGTTTCCAATACAGGAATCTAGACATCAATAACAAAACTATTAAATAACCTAAATAAAACATAACATCTGGTAGCTCAAAATAATTTCTCTGTATGTACAAGCATACCTTCCCAATAGGATTCATCTTAAGGAACTCGGGGGTTTTATTCGTCACACCCAACTCAAAATTCGGTGCCAGCTCAACACTGACACCACTGTACTCTGCAGCAATAAGCCCCTTGAAACCATTTTTGTTTCCCTTCCCCGCATGCAAAACCTACAAAATACATAAAATACATATATTACTAAAGGAAGACCACCAAATGGTCATTCATTTGATTATAGCATGCTAGAGAGTCCACTGAACATAAAATCCTTTGCTCAAATGGAACCAAAACATAATTAACTTTCCAATAAAGACGCTTGCAAAAACTTGATAGTCATGTTTGAAAATATACTGGTTGATGAAACAAGAGGGCTTGTTAATCTCGGAGTCATATCGAAAATGTTCCTTTAATATACAGTTTACAGTTGCACTCTAGGTAGCAATAATATTGCAACCCATACTCAATATCCGTCTCAATTTCACATTCGTGACTCAAGTTTATCCTTCAAGACTTCAGTACGCTCATTAATAAAATCATATGAATTAAACAAGCCAAGCTTAAGCTTAAGCTCTAAACACTATTGCTGAAAAACCCCAGTTAGGCTCATGACAAAGTCAGGGTAATTCAAACATAGAGCTTGAAGAGGCATAAAGAAATCAAATCAAATTCTTGACAAGTTCTCCTTACTAGATCCCTCTTCATTGAGGATATTGTTGTTTTCTTGGCCTCTTCGAAGGATTTATTAAATCTATCAAATTATTTACCAAAAAAAAATAACACCAGTTAGATCGATTCATCAAAATCAAGTCAAATTTAAGTAAGAGATTTTGAGTAGAAATCGATTGCCTCGAAAGGAACCATTTAGACGAAATGTCAACAAAACATAAAAAATAATCACAGAGAAAGATGATGAAATAAACCAATTCCTTCATAAATACATTCATGGTTACGTTTTTCACACTAACAAGCTATACAAAAATTGAATGAACCACCAAACTCGAAAATCTTCCAAACAGACCTCAATTCAATCTACTAAATCAAATCATGGTAGTGTATAGACACAGTACATAAATCTAACTACAAAACGGTAATATCAATAGGCACATAATGAACAACTCACTAGAGCCATTGTTTAACGGAGAAAACGTTCGCCTTTTGATTCAGATCTGAACACAATCACAAAAACACAAATACGAACATGTTAAAACAAATCGATATAATATTGAGAATTTATGAAGAACTTAAGTTATATCGTGTGCTGATGTTCATATGTATAGATATATAGTTATATGTAGAGAAAAAAAACCTCAAGAGTACGAGCGTTCTCCGTGAAGCAGGAACGTGGCGTGGTGAGTGTTAGCTAGAGAGAGGAAGAGAAAGATGAGTGAAGCAAGGCTAGGGTTTTTGTGAGCGAGTGGCCAAAAAGGTACATGCCTTGACGAATCGGATCTGTATTTTTTTACTTTTGGGTTTAAATGACCCGAACTGATATTGGCCTCGGCCACTTGGGGTTATGGCTTTAAAAGTTTGAAATTGGGCTTGTATGGTTCGAAGCAACCTTGACCAGACTATGGACAATAGGGACATGGATGCAGAAAATGGGCTAGCTCAGAGTTAAATATAAAAATCTTGGAATTAATCTAGATATATGTACAGAATACGAATCAAAGGAAAAGAGTTAGAATTGAACTTGCCTGATTTTCAGATTGACAACTTAAACCTCCTCTTCCTTGTTTTAGCCCTTTTTTTTATCAAAACCTTCTTCAGTCTCTCTACTATTTTGTACGTTAATAGAGTTTTCTAACCTTTTACAAACTCATACACATATATATAGACATCTATATAATCCTATTCCCAATCCAACTTTAAGTTAAGTAAAATAAAGGAAAAAAAAGAAAATATAAAATCCTATTCTCAATCCAACTTACCTTAATTAAAATAAAAATAAAAAATATAAATATAAATATACCAAATCTATTACATATATTTAATTATAATATATTTAGTTATAATATATATAATTCTAACTTTCTATAAAAATAATAATAACAATACATATAATTCTAACTTTCCATAAAAATATTGTTTTCTTGATTTGAAACGTGATCTTCAAATTACAATAGACTAATTTTAATGTTGCACCAAAGTTAATCCTCAAAAAAACAATACAATTGTGTTACAAAAAGTAGTCGTGAGAAATATTTTATCAGAAGTGTAGAGTTGCACCGATAAATCGGTAGGAATCGAAGTGGACTGACAATTTGGGTCTGATTCCAAGGACCTGGAATCACAGTTCAGTTATTCATTATTATAAATGCTAATGCAAGTTTAAAGGCATTATATAATCTATTTTCTTATTTCTTATGATTATTATTATTATTCAACCAAATGGAATTTCAAAGCATATATAATCTATTTTTTATTACTCATTATGCAAATTAAAAAATAAAAATCTCCCTGATTGCAATAAATTTGTTTAAAAACAGTATTTCCTGTTGCTTTGTTTGAGGAGTAAGATATTATTCTATTACTGCCCAATGTTGTATAAAGTTTATACTTGTACTTGCCTGATATCAAATTGACAATGAATTTGTTCCACAATATATGTGTGTGTGTATTAGAAAAGTAAAGAGAACATGACAATTCTGATTTTAGTTTCAATTTTTAAAGAACTGTTGGGAACGGTTCAGTTCCAAATTAGTCAAGAATAGTATGAAACTGGTGATGGACGGTATGCACTCCTGTACTTACATTTCTATATGAACATATAATATATATAATTGTTTTGACTATTATTTTTTGATTTAGTCTTGTAATATGACTAATGCATGCACTTTGAATTTTAAATTGGAGATAATTTAATATAAATTTTGAACTAAACTTTTTCTGCCCCAAATTTAAAGGACCAATTCGATCATTCAAACAGTGAAACTTTCAAAATGAAATATCAATCTAATATAAATTGTATTCAATTAGTGACCTATTTGGTTAGTTTTGTGAAAATATTTTTCAATATCTCATGAAAAATAAATTTAATTTTAGAGAATCAGAAAATACTACTATCGGAAATAATTCCTTTTTTAAACAGAATTTTCACACAGACACACACACACACATATATATATCAACTAAACAAATTTTTGTATTGTATTTTTTTTCTTTTTAATCTTCTGGAAGCAAATTACCGTTACAATAATGCCGAAAGTAATAGAAGAATATCTTGGAAGTCATATTTGATAAATGGGAAATACCAATTAACCCCTCATACTTTCCAAAACTTTTAACTTCCAAAAACAAAAACAAAAAAACAAACCCACGTTCAATTTGTTCAAAGGCAAGACAGGTTCATTAATCTGGATGGTATTATTTATCTACTCCTGGAGAGTTAATCTGGTCCATTAAAACTTTCTCCACGCAAACTGTAGTGCCAATTGAATATAATAAAAGTGTTAAAAAGATAGTTATCCAAAAAAAACATAATAATTATATCAATTATCAGCGTACCTGACTGTGAAGAAAAGTTACAATCAACAATTTTTGTACTTTTATATATTAGCTTCACGGGGAAACGGGATGAAATAAATATTTTATATTATAAATGAACTTTAGACAAATATGAAAATAAAAAATTTTAAAAACAAATAATAATAATCTATTATATAAATCACGAGTAAATGTTAGCTTCACAAACTTAGAGAAAATAAGTTAAGTAAATTAATTAATTAATTAAAAAAAAAGTTGAAAAGAAATAAACAAACAAACGCCTCAAAATATACCATTTATATTATTGGCGGCCTTGAAGGTCAAGATTGAAATATATTCATTTTATTGGATGTAAATGATTTGCATTACCTGCAAGTCAAAAGAATAATATGGATGTATGGATGTTAATTTAAAAAATAATTTCTTTTGGTAGCACTCGTGTCAATATTATTCTCACTGGATATCAATTGATTTCAACCGACTTTTTTTTTTTATTTTTTTTTATGATAAGTAAACACACACACATTTTTTGCTCATGCCGGGATTCGAACCCCTCCCCTCTTCTTTGAAGATGGGGAGATTATACCATTGGACCAAAGGCCCTTTGGTCCATCCAACACTATTTGATAATCAAGTAATGATAGATTTGGTACTATCATAAAAATGTATGGTATTTTTCTATTTCTAAACATTTCATAATTTTTTACTATGTTTTTTTAATGCCATAATGCTCCAACACTTTGTCCTTTTAGAGAAGTTCTCGGACATGTTTTTAAAAGAAGAAGAAAATAAATAAATAAATAATTAAAAAAAAGAAATCATTCTTGTCAAACTCCAGGACAAATGAGGTTGATTTTTAGCAAATTATTAGACATGATGGCAAAACTTAAAAAAATAAAAATAAAAATAAAAATAAAATAAAAAAAATCTTAGAAGGGTAGGTGCAAAGAATCTTTACCCTATTATAATATTTACATTGCCAATTTAAAATCTTAATACAAACACTACAGAAGGTGCTACTAATCTCACTGGTAATGTCCACCCTAAATCCATTCGATCATTGCTCAATACACGCGAGTCCATGCTCCAATGCTTTTTTTCCTACTCAATTCTCACCTGTTTTAGGCAATTTCAACAGAGAAAATAGAACGTAAAGTGCTTGATAATTTATACACGTACATAAGAATTTTAATATAAAAATAAAAATAAAAGGTGTTTTTTCAAGGTCCATGGACCATTGAACATAATTGAATCTATAACTTGGGGATCTTAGAAGTTAGAAGAATAAATGGCCTTTGTTGTCCATTAGAATATCGGAGAACCGAATAAATGGCCTTTGTTCTTTTTCAAGAGTATAATTAAAAAGCAAATCTAGCTAGCATAATGCATTTTTAAGTTTTTCACACAACCCAAATTATATATATAAAAAAAAATTATAACACAAAAAATCAAAATGCGTCATTTAAAACAAAAATTAGGAGAATATTATTTTGAGACGAAATAAAAGTATACACATACTCAATTATAATTCATAGTAAGAAATGACATTTAAACATTTTAACAAAAATATATTTAAATGATGAGAAAAAATATATATGCATTACTATGTAAAAAGCAGGTATAGTAAGTTCATTATACTTAAGAATTAGAATAAATAGGTAGGAGAAAAATCAAACAAAAATATTGAATTTAAAAGCAAACAAATTCAAAATTATAATTAGCTGATAAACTAAAGGTGTTCAAAAGAACAATGCAATCATGGTAGAGAGAGAGTCGATTTGAACAAAGATTGAAGAATAATCATTCAAAAGCTTGAGTTTCAAGTTAAAACATATAAATTTCGTTTTTTTAATTTTTCCTTTACATATTTAATACTCTTATTTTAAGGATATTTAAATTAATATTTATCTCTATTAAGTGGGTATTTCAAAAGATGTAACTCATCTAATGAAATGATAATATGTTTATGATTCATTAAAATTTTATTTTTGTATTTATAAAAAAATTAAAAAATGCTTAGAAATTAGGAGAGGGACTTACACTATACATACATATATATATATATATATGGAGTGAGAGATAATATTCCTTGCAAGTTACAAAAGACTGTTATCCGAAATATGGTCTAAGTATACCATATACTATAGTATTATTTATTTAAATATTATCTGTAAATATAAAATAATATAATGCTTATATATATAAATATTATAAAATAATAATCTATATATATAATTACTTATAATGTATAGTTTAATAAAATAAAATAAAAAATTATAAATAAAGGAACTTGATTAAAAGTCGAGGCTAGAATTTGATTCTATGTCCTTAAGACAGATTCGTCCTGCTATGGTGCTTATGGACTCAGTGGCGTCTATCTCCCAGGATACAACGACTTGTCTTCCTTCGGTAGTAGCACTGCAAACCAAAGAAATAGGCGAACCGGCTCGGTGTAGTACTCTCTGACTCAAACTCAGACTCTGAGTGACTGACTAAGGCTCGAACCCAAATACTAAGGCTCGAACACACAGACTAAAGAGTGAAGGAAGAAGAAGAAAATTCAGAAGAAGAGAATAATTCTCTGAATTTGGTGTGATTTGCAAATGATCCAAATGGGGTATTTATAGGTAGTAAGGTGCCTTTTCGGTTGGGTGCAACCATGGGTTATGATGGTTCAGAAAAAGGTGTAACCCTTTAAAAAAACTAAAAAGTGGTTTTTTGAATTTAAAAGGTGTAACCCCTTAGAAAAACTAAAAAATTGTTTTTTTAATTTAAAAGGTGTAACCCTTTAGAAAAACTAAAAAGTAGTTTTTTTAATTCAAAAAATCAACCACCCAAAAAACCCACCCATTTGTAAAACCCATTTAAATAAGCCCAACCCAAAAATAGGCCCAATCTAAAATTCCATTTAATAAAATGAATAATCCGGAATTTACAATTAGGCCCAAGCCCAAGCCCAAATCCAAGCCCAAGCTTGACT